TCCCCCGCCCCCGCGCACGGGCGCTTCTCGTTCGTTACTGGACCTCGACTTTTATTTGTTGGTAATCCTTTCCATTTTTTTTTCTGTCCATGATCGGATTAATATTAATATTCTATAATTTCTCTTAGGAGGAGGTTAAATGGTTTCTGTCATATTTTTATGTAGGGTTAAACGGTAAGCGGTTTAGGTTAATTAGTTTTGTTGGAAATGAATTATATTATGTTAATTAAAAACTTATCTTTATTACTAATATAAACTTCAAAAATAGTCATAATATGTTATGATGAATATTCACATCATATTCAATAAATTATTATCAAATATTAAAAAATCTTAATTATTTTTAAATATAATTGATTCGTCAAATAATTCCTTATGAAAAAACTATACAATATACAATATAACTTTTACAATTAATTAAAGGAAGAGGGTTAATTCTATTGCTCAAATGCAACAAGTGACTGAGTTTGTTCCAGCGTTTCTTCTCAGCACTTGCCATATGTTTGTCTCCAAGCGCTGGTAGGGCCCAAAAGATAAGGAGACATGTAAAGTGCCCCATAAGGGCTACCTTTTCTTTTTTTATTATTTACTACACTCGACAGCAAATAAATCGCACCACCCGCGACAAGCACTTTCAAACGTATGCATCCCCACTTCACACCAATATTGGTACCATTCAAAAGCCTAGTTCTAAACTTCATCCCACCAAAAACATTCTGTAAAAAACTAGCCAAGTCTCGGTGGAGCTGCTTGTTTATCTCTAAAAAGTAATGAAATCTAGACAAAGTCGTGCCAAGTCTATGGTTCCTTACTGCGATTTCTTTATTATTATAGTTAATGTTGTGTGACTTGGCCGTTGAACAATCTTTATTAAGATAATTACATAAGTATTATTGAAATACATTTCATTATAGGAAAGGTTTTTACCCCAAAAATGTTTCTTTAGAAGGATCCAGAGTCACTTCTTCAAAAAATAGATAGTTACGCTTGAGCCAACTTTTATGGCTATAAAACTGTTAAGTTGGGATTAATCGCTATCCATCTGTTAAAGAGGACACGTGTGATCATTATTTGGTTTTATAACCATAAAATTTGGTCTAATTGATCCCAGAGGTGAGCCCAAAGTGAGGTCTTTTTTCAAGTCACATTTATGGTATATGTTAATAATTTATTAAGAAATTAAATGTGTTTTTCTTTAAGGATATTTATTGGGCTTTCAAATAACACCAATATTGTTGGGGCACCATTATTGTGTCAACGCGGGTGGTGCGATTTATTTGCTGTCGAGTGTATATTTTGACTTTCATAAGTGCCACTTGTGGTCTAAATTGAATAAATATTTTTAACTAGCTTTCCGCCCGCGGCTTCGCCCGCGTGGAATTTTGTCTGTCACAGAAAAACTTTATCGCGCGCGTCCCTGTTTCAAAAACCGGGATAAAAACTATCCTATGTTCTTTCCCGGGACTCAAACTATCTCTATGCCAAATTTCATCAAAATCGGTTGCGAGGTTTAAGCGGGAAAGCGTAACAGACAGACAGACAGACAGACAGACAGAGTTACTTTCGCATTTATAATATTAGTTGGGATGGGATATTGAATTTGACTTTTTATAAAAGACCGAAATCCGAGGATAAATACCTTTTCATACATCATCAGCAATCGGTCATTGTAGTATAGGCGTGTTTTTGTTTAATAATTTGATATTGGTCCTGTAGGATAAGTAGTTCCGGTTGAGCAGTGGAATCAACCCTTTTCGTTTAATCAAGTATAAAAAACGCTGTCTATTTATACCTTAAAAATATGAATTATATTTTTTTTACATAACATTACCAATATAATAAAGTGCATCAAAGTGACAGTCACAGCACTTGGGTCCACATATGAACTAAGTGTCATGGCGGCGCGAGTCCGGCTCCTGCGCGAGGAGCCGTCGGTTTGGCGTCGGAGCTTTGGCTTGAGTGCGGGGCGCGGGGCCAGCGAGGCGGGGCCCGCGGACGCTAGTCGTTGGCGGCGAGCGCGCGGCAGGCGGCGTCGGCGGCGCGCTCCAGCGACAGCGTGCGGCCGGGCTGCGGCGCCGTCTCGTTGCGCCAGCGGGACACGCGCAGCGAGCGGTCGCCCTGCACCGACTCGAGGTGGCACTCCTTCCTGGAACGCGAAGCGGGAGAAGCTACATCATCCGCGTCGACCGCGTTCGAAACGAACGACCGACGATTCCGACGCGAACTCACCTCAGGTCGTAGTCGTCGAGCTTGACGCGGACGCAGAGCGCGACGGCGTCGTAGAAGTCGAGGTCGGCGGCGATGCGCAGGCGCGGCTCGGCGGCGGCGGAGGAGACGGCGCGCGCGCGGCCCCACGCCGTCCGCAGCGCCAGCGACACCTGCGCCGCGCCGCCCGCGCGCAGCTCCAGCCCGGCGCGCGCGTTGCGCGACCACAGCGACACCTGACGGTGCGTCATCGGCAAAACGAATATTAAAATAAAGAGATCGGATCGAACACGGGACGAATGCAGGTTCGGATGGAACGCGCTCGGGTCACCTGCGCGTGCGCGTCGAGCGCGAGGGCGGCGGCGCGGCGGTGGGCGGCGGCGAGGCGCAGGCCGCCCAGCGGCAGGGCGGCGGCGGCGTCGCGCAGCAGCAGCGCGCGCAGCACGGGCGTGGGCGCGCTGCCCGTGCCCGCCCACACGTGCCCCAGCAGCTCCGCCTGCAATAGACGCGAACAATATACAGGGTGTTTCGTGTGAGGTGTCAAGCCGAAAGCAGATGATAGGTGATAGAACTAGACCTATCGATTGCACCCCCATGTATGTTCTACGATTTTTCGTAGTTTAGAAGGTATCGTTAATTTTCTTTTTGATTTTTAAATTTGAATGACCTGGTAGATTTTTTTTTTGTTTCTAGCAAAAATTTTGTATATTGCATCAAAGCAGAGTAAATACAAATAAGTAGATCATCTTCATAGAAAACGCGCGCCAATACGTATGCGGCGCGCACACACAACTGAAAAAATTCAGCGCACCTCACCGCTAATAATAAGTGGTGACTGAGTTTGTTCCGGTGTTTCTTCTCAGCACTTGCCATATGTTTGTCTCGAAGCGCTGGTAGGGCCCAAAAGATAAGGAGACATGTAAAGTGCCCCATAAGGGCTACCTTTTCTTTTTTTTATTATTTTCTATTGACGTTCATAAGTGCCACTTGTGGTCTAAACTGAATAAATATTTTTGATTTTGATTTTGATTTTGATAATCCACACTAAATTTTGTCAGTGTGTGCGTGCGCGCCGCATACGTATTGACGCGCTCACATACAAACCGCGCTCGGTGCGTTTCTATGAAGATGACCTTCTCATTTGTATTTATTCTGATCAAATGTAGGATTTGAGGTGATTATTTTTTTTCAAATATTTGCCATTAATAACAAATCTATTTATTTTTATTTATTTATTTATATTAGGGAAACAAACAATTTTGATATACAGACAAATAATCACACAAAAAATAGGACAGAAATCAGCAAAGTTTCCACAGTTAAAATTAATACAGAGTGCAGACTAAAAATTAATTAAATAGTAATAAATTATACATTAATTTCTAAATGTCAAATAAATACAATGACAATCTTATAAAATGTCAAGCAGTTAAATTTAATAAAAATTATAAAATGTCAAAAAGTTAAATATTAATAAAATTATATAAATTAAAAACACAATAATTATGTAGGTCAAAATTAAAATCAAGTTATAGGTATATTCAAACATTCTCTCAATTGTTTTTTATAAGATGGTAAGGAAGAATTAAAAATGTCAATCGTGTTAAACCTATTATTATATTCCTTACAAGATCTAGGTACAAAATTGTTGCTAGCATAATTAGTCCTAGTGATAGTCCTAGTATCTGTCCAAAAAAAAAACTTTATAAATCACAAAATTAACGATAACTTATAAACTATGAAAAATCGTAGAACATACATGTGAGTGAAATCGATAGGTCTAATCCTTACCTATCACCTGCCTTCGGCTCGACACCCGAAACATCCCAACTAATATTATAAATGCGAAAGTAACTCTGTCTGTCTGTCTGTCTGTCTGTCTGTTACGCTTTCCCGCTTAAACCTCGCAACCGATTTTGATGAAATTTGGCATAGAGATAGTTTGAGTCCCGGGAAAGAACATAGGATAGTTTTTATCCCGGTTTTTGAAACAGGGACGCGCGCGATAAAGTTTTTCTGTGACAGACAAAATTCCACGCGGGCGAAGCCGCGGGCGGAAAGCTATTCTGTATTAAGTGACGTAACATTTGACTGAGTGGTAATAAATCGGATTCATCACGACAACACGAGTGACATCTAGTCTCGTCCCGTGCACGACGCACCTGGCCGCGGAACAGGTCGACGGGCGGCAGGCGCGCGCCGTCCACCGCCAGCGCCAGCGTGGCCGCCGGCTCCGGCGCCTCCTCGCCCTCGTACAGCTCCTCGCCGCCGCCGCCGCCGCCCGCCACCGCCTCCAGCCCGCGCGCCCACACCTCCACCGCCAGCAGCTCGGCGTCGTCCGCGCCCAGCAGCCGCACGACGCTGCGCCGCAGCAGCCCGCCCGCCGCCACCTGCAGCGACTCCAGCGCCGCGCCCGCGCCCGTGTCGCGCCGCAGCACCGCCGACGTGCCGGCCGGCGCGCGCGCGTGCCACGAGCGCAGCTCGCGCGGCAGCCGCGGCAGCAGCTCGCGCAGCGCGGCGTGGCGCGGCGCCAGCTGGTGCAGGCGCTGCCACAGCACGCGGCGCAGCTCGGCCGGGCCGCGCCGCTGCAGCTCCAGCGCCACGCCCAGCAGCGCCGCCGGCCGCTCCGCGCTGCGCCGCACCAGCAGGTCCAGCGCCGCCGCGCGCACCTCCAGCGGCCGACCTGCGCGACGTGCGAGGTTACGTTCGTGGACGCCGAAAAGAGCGCGCGCGCCGGTCGACTCGAATGCCTATTTTGTGGATCTCGGCAAAAAACTGTACGACTTCGATCGCATTCCGCGACCCCATATTCGAACGTTCTCTACGCGTGAAGGCGAAAAAGGAGGTATCGAGCGAACGAGTCACGCCCCGAATCGTATTGACTGTCCCAGATGCGATCGTTTAAATACGGATAAAACCATGACATGAGTTTATTTTTACTTTACATAAACGTGCAACATACGCAAGGAAATCAACATTTTACGTAGCAACAGTCAACACACAAATCGTGAGTCGAATCACGAAAAGGCGTATCTAACAAAATGGCGATATTGAGTTAAACACACCATTTATTAAAAACGTGCAGTTTATAATCTCACAAAAAATCGTAACTGAATTATTTGTCAGGAGGCCAGTATTGACAATAAAGAGGACCCGAAATGCATTTTTCCACATTTAATTTTTTTTTAAACGTCGCTCCTGTAAAATTTATAAAAATCAGTCACATCCTTTCGTGATTCGACCGACGAAACGATCTCGACTCGTTTGAAAAAATTGAAAAATGGCGAAAGAAGGAAACACCGCGCAGGGCACTGACCGGGCAGCAGCGCGAGCGGCTCGAGGCGGCGGCGGCGCGCGTAGTGCAGCTCCCGCGCCGGCAGCTCGGCCAGCGCGCCCAGCGCCGCCAGCGCCGNAATTGTTGCTAGCATAATTAGTCCTAGTGCTAGTCCTAGTATCTGTCCAAAAAAAAAACTTTATAAATCACAAAATTAACGATAACTTATAAACTATGAAAAATCGTAGAACATACATGTGAGTGAAATCGATAGGTCTAATCCTTACCTATCACCTGCCTTCGGCTCGACACCCGAAACATCCCAACTAATATTATAAATGCGAAAGTAACTCTGTCTGTCTGTCTGTCTGTCTGTCTGTCTGTTACGCTTTCCCGCTTAAACCTCGCAACCGATTTTGATGAAATTTGGCATAGAGATAGTTTGAGTCCCGGGAAAGAACATAGGATAGTTTTTATCCCGGTTTTTGAAACAGGGACGCGCGCGATAAAGTTTTTCTGTGACAGACAAAATTCCACGCGGGCGAAGCCGCGGGCGGAAAGCTATTCTGTATTAAGTGACGTAACATTTGACTGAGTGGTAATAAATCGGATTCATCACGACAACACGAGTGACATCTAGTCTCGTCCCGTGCACGACGCACCTGGCCGCGGAACAGGTCGACGGGCGGCAGGCGCGCGCCGTCCACCGCCAGCGCCAGCGTGGCCGCCGGCTCCGGCGCCTCCTCGCCCTCGTACAGCTCCTCGCCGCCGCCGCCGCCGCCCGCCACCGCCTCCAGCCCGCGCGCCCACACCTCCACCGCCAGCAGCTCGGCGTCGTCCGCGCCCAGCAGCCGCACGACGCTGCGCCGCAGCAGCCCGCCCGCCGCCACCTGCAGCGACTCCAGCGCCGCGCCCGCGCCCGTGTCGCGCCGCAGCACCGCCGACGTGCCGGCCGGCGCGCGCGCGTGCCACGAGCGCAGCTCGCGCGGCAGCCGCGGCAGCAGCTCGCGCAGCGCGGCGTGGCGCGGCGCCAGCTGGTGCAGGCGCTGCCACAGCACGCGGCGCAGCTCGGCCGGGCCGCGCCGCTGCAGCTCCAGCGCCACGCCCAGCAGCGCCGCCGGCCGCTCCGCGCTGCGCCGCACCAGCAGGTCCAGCGCCGCCGCGCGCACCTCCAGCGGCCGACCTGCGCGACGTGCGAGGTTACGTTCGTGGACGCCGAAAAGAGCGCGCGCGCCGGTCGACTCGAATGCCTATTTTGTGGATCTCGGCAAAAAACTGTACGACTTCGATCGCATTCCGCGACCCCATATTCGAACGTTCTCTACGCGTGAAGGCGAAAAAGGAGGTATCGAGCGAACGAGTCACGCCCCGAATCGTATTGACTGTCCCAGATGCGATCGTTTAAATACGGATAAAACCATGACATGAGTTTATTTTTACTTTACATAAACGTGCAACATACGCAAGGAAATCAACATTTTACGTAGCAACAGTCAACACACAAATCGTGAGTCGAATCACGAAAAGGCGTATCTAACAAAATGGCGATATTGAGTTAAACACACCATTTATTAAAAACGTGCAGTTTATAATCTCACAAAAAATCGTAACTGAATTATTTGTCAGGAGGCCAGTATTGACAATAAAGAGGACCCGAAATGCATTTTTCCACATTTAATTTTTTTTTAAACGTCGCTCCTGTAAAATTTATAAAAATCAGTCACATCCTTTCGTGATTCGACCGACGAAACGATCTCGACTCGTTTGAAAAAATTGAAAAATGGCGAAAGAAGGAAACACCGCGCAGGGCACTGACCGGGCAGCAGCGCGAGCGGCTCGAGGCGGCGGCGGCGCGCGTAGTGCAGCTCCCGCGCCGGCAGCTCGGCCAGCGCGCCCAGCGCCGCCAGCGCCGCAGGAAGGCGCGCGCCAGCGGCTCCGGCGGGTCGGCGGCCGCCAGCTGCAGGAAGCCGTCGGCCGCCGCCAGCGCGGCGCGCGTGCCCGCGAGCCCCAGCAGCCGGCACAGCCCGCTCCTGCGGACGAGGCGCACGTCACGAGGGTCGGGCGAGGCGGCGGGCGGTGGGCGGTGGACACTCACAGCTTGGCGGGGTCGGTCTCCCGCTCGAGCAGGCGGCGCAGGCGGTCGGCGGGCGCGGCGCGCAGGGCGGGCAGCAGGCGCAGCGCGGCGGCGGCGTGCGCGGCGCGCCCCCCCTCGCCCGCCTCCTCCGTCCGCAGAGCCTCGTCGTTGGCCGCTATCGCCTCCTCCAAGTTCTGGGCCGAAATCGATGTGATGATATCGCATCATACTGCATTCTACTTTAATTAAAAAATTAAGCCTATCTAATGCGTTTCATTCTACATACCACAACTTCGGAGAATAATTATTACACGATAAAAAAAGCTGCTAAAAAGCTTCATTTACTTTCTTCAGAGCTTCATTTCTGTGAGAATCTATGCCGCGTCTATGTAGATGCTGTCGCGGGCGCCCACCGGCCCGCGACTGGGAGCACTGTTTTAGACTTTACTGCGCGGTTTATGGCGATGTAATCATGTCGCACCGCTAGACGGTAAACTCGTTTAGAAAACTAGCAAATGAGTTGCTAACTACAGAATATTATTCTTATGTTGGGATATACACTCGCGAGCAAAAGTATGGAATCACTTACATGAAGTTGTTTCCACGCGAACTTGTGTACTAACGAATTTGTTAGGAACAAAAAAAGTGGCACCATTTTAAAGATTAAACTTTTATCTTTAAATTGATACCAAACTCATTTAAATAACACCAGTATTTAAAAAGATATCCCGGCTGATGTGAAGAAGTAACGAAAAAGACATGTATGAACTGTTTGATACGTCGCGAGTTGCGGCCTATTTACCCCCTATAAAAGCACGTGTTTTCGGATTTTTGCTTTCACACGTTGATTCATACACATCTCCGCTTCTTTTGACACTTTACCTGGGTTTCTACACCTTCAGAAGCAGCACAAATCGTTGCACTATTGCAAGAAGGGCTCAGCCAGCGAGCTGTCGCACGTCAGCGCCACATAAGTCAGTCCTGGGTTTCGAAAGTTTTAAGACGCTTTCGGGAGACTGGTGGCTTTATCCCGAGACCAAGTTCTGAACAGCGCCGGCGCACATCGCAGAGGGAAGACCGTTTTTTCATGTCAACCTCTCTATGAAATCGTCATTTGACTGGAATCGACGTCCAGTAAGAGCTCAGAAATGTTCGTAGGATAGCTGTTAGCGAGTAGACAGTTTGTCTAAGACATAAGCAATAGAATTTAACTCCAAAAAGGCCTGCCACAGGCTCGAAACTGACGGCAGGTCACCGATAAGCACGCTTTCAATTTGCTCGTACACATCTCGATGTTAAGTCGAGCAAGCCACCCCCATAAGCCACTGTTTCAGCGAACCAGCACTGCACAAATCGCTCCTCAGGCCGCCTATAAACCCGACCTCTTCGACTGCTGCCCTGCAAACACAGTTTGCATTCATCGGAGAACAGAACTCGCCTCCATTACTCGCCTTCCCATCGAGATGTGTACGAGCAAATTGAAAGGGTGCTTATCGGTGACCTGCCGTCAGTTTCGAGCCTGTGGCAGGCCTTTTTGGAGTCAAATTCTATTGCTTATATCTTAGACGAACTGTCCACTCGCTAACAGCTATCTTACGAACATTTCTGAGCTCTTGATAGACATCGCTTCCAGTCAAATGACGATTTCATAGAGAGGTTGACATGAAAAAACGGTCTTCCCTCTGCGATGTGCACCGGCGCTGTTCAGAACTTGGTCTCGGGATAAAGCCACTAGTCTCCCGAAAGCGTCTTGAAACTTTCGAAACCCAGGACTGGCTTATGTGGCGCTGACGTGCGACAGCCCGCTGGCTGAGCCTTTCTTGCAATAGTGCAACGATTTGTGCTGCTTCTGAAGGTGTAGAAACCCAGGTAAAGTGTCAAAAGAAGCGGAGATGTGTATGAATCAACGTGTGAAAGCAAAAATCTAAAAACGCGTGCTTTTATAGGGGCTAAATAGGCCGCAACTCGCGACGTATCAAACAGTTCATACATGTCTTTTTCGTTACTTCTTCACATCAGCCGGGATATCTTTTTAAATACTGGTGTGATTTAAATGAATTTGGTATCAATTTAAAGATAAAAGTTTAATCTTTAAAATGGTGCCACTTTTTTTGTTACTAACAAATTCGTTAGTACACAAGTTCGCGTGGAAACAACTTCATGTAAGTGATTCCATACTTTTGCTCGCGAGTGTAGTATTCAAAGTACGAGTATATTGCTGAGTTTCAAAAACTGGATACAGTGTCATCCATAATGGTGCCGATGGTGCGTGCGTGTTTAAATTACGATGTAAAATATTGATATGGTCATGAAATAGTACTTTGCCTGTAACAATGTTACCATTGTCTGCTGCTATTATAAAGATTGCATGTCAGCATAAAATAATGGAATCCGATGACTATTCGAGAACGAACCTGATTAGATATGGTGGACGCCCGCTCATGATACAAAAATAAAATTAAATAATTAATTGCCCGGCAATGAGTGTTCGGGCGCGGAGACAGCGAGCGGGGTCAGGGGTCAGGCTTATCTCCCGCGATAACGATGATGCCCCGAGACATTTGAATACACTTCACGGGCCTAGTATAACTACTGAAGAGTAGTTATATGAATTATAACTTGCATATAAAAGCAATGACTAATTACACTTATCAGCATAGTATGCAACAAAGACATAAAACAAGTTGGATATGGATACGTGGCATTATAGATAATCAGTCACGGCCATAGCTAGGTACCTACATGTTATGAATGACGTCGTGACGATTGTTTAAAAATAATAATTTCATATCGTAATAGCACAGCTCAAGAACACAAACAACCGCCCTTTTCAGCGGAAATTGTGGAAAGAAAAAGAATGGATTAATTCAAAATAAAACCATCATGAAAAAGTTAGAAACGAAGCAAAGAGCAGAACCGCTCCACACGTAGGTACATAAAATTTAAATATCGCCAGGTCGGCCGATAGAATAAATTACGAACAGGATTTAAAAAGCGTTACCAAGTCATCGTCCGGCTCCCCCTGGCCGGCGAGCTGCAGCGCGGCGGGCGCCAGCCGCTCGGGCAGCGCGCGCAGGGCGGCGGCGAGCGAGGCGGCGGCGGGCGCGGGCGCGGGCGCGGGCGCGGCGGCGGGCTGCAGGCGCGTGAGGGCGCGCGCCTTCACGCCCAGCTCGGCGCCGCCCAGCTGCAGCAGCTCGTCGGCGTACACGGCGCGCAGCCCCGGCCCCAGCGTGTAGCGCGCGATGCGCCGCGCCGACACGTGCTCCGCCAGCCGCCGGTCCTGCTCCGTGGCGTTGGCGGCCGAGCAGCTTCTCTGAACGACGATAGCGCCATGTTATGTTAGCGTCGTTGTCGGTGGGTGAGTGCGATAGTGGAAGATTGTGAGCCGTCCGCCGATGCTTACCTTGATTTTTCTGAAGACGGTCGATGAAATAGACTCGTAGAGCACGTCGCAGACTCCGGTGGCATCTGTTTCGTTGTATTCCCCGTCGATTATTTGGAACTGAAAGATGAGAAATAACGATATCCAGGCAGCCAAAATTAGTGAATGCACCTTAGTGTATCTGTTACGAAATTCACAAAGTATTGATACTGAGGTGAGCAAAATTATCACATGAGACACACAAAAAAAACAAAAAACACACGGCAACATAAAAAATCTAGATAACCGTAACCAGTGGATCTGGACAAAATGCACATTTTAATCACAAACCAGTAAAAAAATGGTCAAAAGGCCTTTTTTATATGAAGTTTTCACAGATTTGATTTTCGATTCCATCAAAAAGTGCAACTTGTCTAGGGGGCAATATCTAATTTTAAGTTTCAATCAACAACAAAAATAAAAACGAAATATAATAAAAATAAACAAAAATACAGAAACATAACTTATACCTACATTTTATCACACACAAGCATTCTAAAATTACCTGCAATATTATTCATGTTTTTGTCACATGATTTTTAAGTAATTTGCTATTCCCACATACTTAACAGATCCTAGAAACATTGTCAACAGTTTAATGATTATTTGTTTAGAAATGAATGTTTAATGAAGATAAAATACTGAATACAGTACTTAAGTAATTTCTACTATTAGAGAAAAATAAACATTAGTATAATTTGAAATAATTAAGAAAATAAAAATACAGTGCTGATATATTTGTTACCTGGAACAGACTTATGAGGCCTCTCTTGTAGTTGAGGACATCCTCCAGCTCCTCGGGGTCCAGGTATGCGTTCTGGACCACTCCGCTCTTCCAGTGAACATAAAATGATGTGTCTTTGTACGAGTCCCACACGGAGCTGAATGCCCGGAAGTTGGCATTAATATGTTTGCCTCGCAGGTGAAGTTGAGGTGAAATCAACTGTAGGGAAATAAATAAATAAAATATTTAATTTGTCTGTCTATCCACCTATCATGAAAAATTTCTTATTATTTTTATTTTATTTAATTTTATCAATTATAACGGAGCGGTAAAAATATCTCGATAAAAGTAAAAAAACATACCTACAGCCTAGAACGTTTGTGTTTGTGAAAACCCCAAGAACTTCTTTAGGTCAAAGGGTAGGGTATACAAGGCAAATGACTTTTGTTTTAATTAAATTGATAAAACATAAGTAAAGTTGGATGCTCACGTTAAATTTCAACAGGAACTCTGAGTGGGAGTCTGCCCAGAGCGGCTCCACGACGAGCCGCGCCAGCAGCTTGAAGCCCACCTCGCGCTCCTGGCGCCCGGCGTCGTTCAGCGTCACCGAGGACTCCACGTCGTAGGCGGCCGGCGACTCGAACAGCTTCACTTCGCTGTAATCGTGTCGCGACACCGACGACGACGCCACCCATTTCAAACACGACACTAATATTAATCCTAAGAGTCTCATGTTTCTTTTTTCACTAAGTTTATTTTCATCAGACTAAATAAAAAAGTTATACTGAGTTACACTCATGACTCGTGAACTCAACACTGACTGACAGTAATGACAGTCTGTTAATTAATTACCTCCCCCCGCCCTGCCCCCCTTATGTAAACGTCAAAAACTTTTTGACAGTCAGCTGTCCACACACACGCAAAGCTTTTTGTAGATGGCGCCAGCGAAGCGACGAGCAAGACCACAGATTTTTATTGATAAAAAAAGAGATGGTGGTAAAATTTTAGCTACTGGGATTTATTTCTTTGAACATTTTGGTCAAGCCCTTTGCTACATAATATATTATAATTAATTAATGATTTCTACTGATCGCCATCACGCACGCCACAAGCGGGCTCGCGTTGGTTTGGCCGAACCTTTAGGCAAAGATTTCTTACTAATTCGTATTCAACTCGGAGTTTTTTTTTATTACTATAAATTCACTGTTAATTCCCATTGCGTTTTATCAATATACTGTGGTTTTATCCTTTTGTATACCAATCTCTCAAGTGGGGGAGACGGAGACGTTTAAAAATTAAATTCCCAGTTGCTCCCTCGAATGGAGGCACCCGGTGATAACTGGGTCATTGTCATTATTTATTACAAATTCCCAGTTGCCCTGTAGGGGCAATGATGGTGGGGGACAACTGGGAATAACCGGTACGATCATCACGGACGCGGGAACGGGATTACCCCGCGTTCCCCACTCCCTGTGTGTGCGTGCGTATTCCACGCATTACAATTAATAGTTTCTTGTATGAAAACTCATTTATTATGCTAGTAGGCTTTTAAAAGCACTTTTACACGTCCCAGTATTAACCCTACTACTGCTAGCCCTACTACTTCAGGACAATAAATGGGCCAGTGCTGAGAAGCAGCGCAAGAAACTCAAGTCACTCTGAAAAGGACATTTGCGGATATCACGCATGCGTGTCAATCCTGCGTCCGTGATGAAAATCCGCACGTTATATTAAAACACCCTTACTGATGTATATCATTGCAACTTTGTTACCCACCATTTTGTTTTCATGCATGATTGCTGCCCACACTGCCAGACCTTTTTTCCACCTCGCTGTCCGCCAATGGGGGATAAATAAATATTATTGATGAGGGCAACGGGAATGGACGGAAGGTAGTAATAGTCAATGACAAAATAAATATAACAAAACGACCATGGTAAACTTTTGTAATGTAATAGAATAGAGTCATCATGAAAATTTAAATATTGTTTATTGTATCCTTATATGCTTTGCTATCTTATAAACCATTGGGGATATTTGGTACAGTTTTTCATAGCCACCACAATGACATAGTGTTCATGACGTCGTGATCACTATCTTAGGCATTGACCGCTTGCTGACTACAACAAGGTTATGTGCGAGGTTAGCCCAGTGCAAAACTTGTGGGTAGGTATTAATATTTTAATCTTTAAATATTTTATCTGTTTTTAAATAATGAATAATGTAACACATTAAAAATGACTTTATTTCATCTATGATAAATTAGCACCGAAATAAAAAGTTTTGGATATCAATTACATATTTAGGTACCAATACACAACGAAGTTGTAATATATTAATAATTATATTTATTGGACCACAAATTATAATGTAGAATAGTAATAACTGTATTATTATGAAGTAATAACAAATATAACGAGACGAGTCATTACAACAAACAATGAAACAAGTATAAGTACTGATAACATTATATCACATCACATTGCAATATCTTAATAATAAAAAATATAAATAAGAAAAGAACTCTTTTTTAAATACAAATATAAATACGGTTTTGTACTGCAAACTCCAGGTGTTTTGGAATGAAGAGAATCTTTGGTTACTGCACATAAAACGTTTTATGACTACTTAACACAACATTAATAAATACTGAGCGAGAACACAGACCTCGCCGCGCCACACAGTGACTGCGACTGTCGCGCCACATGCAAATAAAATCATACAAACAGACAACGGGTCAACAACTCATTAACAACAGTAATATACAGCTATCAACAACGGCCGAAGGTTCTTGATTTAACGTCACGAGTAGATGGTCATCAGTATCATCTGCAAAACACACGGAAAGTTGAGAATATTATAACAATTGATATAAAATACAATTCATAAAATTATTGCAAAATGCAAACGCAACACCCGCAGCACTGACCTCTTCCAACGAGAGAGGATTGGACTTCATCTTTGTATCGAGGGCACGGTATCGCTCTGCAAACAAACAAGTGAAATGTTTCTGAACGAAGCCGTCCGCACTTCGCCGACATAAGTTTACCACACCGTACGGTTAACATGAAAAGAAAAGAATCATTTTATCGGTATATTTTCAACGAAACGGGCATCATACCGTGCGCGAGGTGGAGCCTGGCGAGCGCGATCACGTAGGCCTCGGCCGTCAGCCGCGTGCCGCGCGCGAACCGCAGCACCAGGCACTCCAGCACCTGCGCACAAACCGACCTCAGCTGCGGCCTCGACCACACGCGACCCTCGCCTCGCCTCCACCACCACGCACCTTGTTGGACGCCGTCACGCCGGCGGCCCACAGCAGCGCGCGCAGGCGGTAGGCCGAGCACGCGGCGCGCGCGCACGCGCCCGGCGCGCCCGCCAGCACGAAGGCCTGCTTCCAGCACGCCAGCAGCGCCAGCAGCGGGCCCAGCTCGCGCGCGCGCACGCGGCCGCTCATGCGCGCGTCGCGCAGCGCCACCAGCGCGCGGCACAGCTCCAGCGACGGCCGCGCCAGCAGGCACCAGCGCCACACGCGCCGCAGCGCCGCGCGCAGCCCCGCCGCGTCCACCTGCACGACACACGCACGCGTCACACGTCACCCGTCACCCGTCACCCACGGCCCGCCCGGTGCTCGACGTCGCTCACCTCATCGATCTCGTGTTTGCCGAGCATTTTCACGACGGAGGCTCTGACGTCCGCCTGCAACAAAAATGCGGGGATCACTTTGAGTTCACTGGGTACCGGCCGTCCGCGTGGACTTCCGTCTCGTCACTCACGGGTATCAGCTGGCCGTCATCGTAGAACTCGGAGGAGATGTCGCGCACGATGACGTTGTCCTCGTTGACTTCCCTGCAACACGAGCGGAGCGTGAGCGGGGGGCGGGCGGGCGGACGGGGGCGGGGCGGGCGGGCACGCACCAGACGTCGGTGTGGTCGTCGGTGAGGATGCGCAGCAGGAAGGCGGCGTCGGTGTGCGCGCGGCGCGTGTGCGGCACCAGCAGGTAGTGGCCGGGCGGCAGCGTGAAGAACGTGGCCACCTCGCGCGCGCGGCACTCGTGCGTCACGTCCAGCGCGCGCTGCGACAGACAAGCGGTCAGTCTCGCGCGTCATCCCCGGCGGCGGCGGCGGCGGCGCGGGCACTCAGCCACTCACCAGCGCGTGCAGCTGCGCCAGCGGGCGGCGCGGCGCGGCGGCGGGCAGCTCGTACACGGCGAAGCCGATGGCGTGCAGGCGGGCGCGCGCGCGCGGCTCGTAGGCCTGCGTCACCGACACCACCACGTGGCACTTGCCGCCGGCGCCGCCGCGCCCCACGCCCACGTGGAACTGCGGGTTGGTGCCCGTGGTCTCTGCAACACGCGCGCGTCGGTGAGCTGGGAGCCGGGCTGGCGGGCCGGCGGGGCGAGGCGGGGAGCGGGGCTCACCGGTGCAGGAGGGCGGGCCGCCGGCGTTGTACCCGGCGCGCCAGCGGCGACGCGCGAGCACGGCGCGCCAGGGCCGGCGCGCGTGCAGGGCGCGCTCGCGCAGCCAGTCGTCGGGCCCCACGTGCACCAGCTCCAGCGTGCTGAAGGCGCCCGCGAACTCCGCGAACGACATCCTGCGCACACGAGTTCACTGTTACGCCGCTGCCGACAAGTGGATGCGTCCTACTTTTATTTATTTATTTATTCAAGACGATGAACGATTCAATCCAGTCAAAAGCCAGCATTAAATCATACATAGCGTCATAACCGCAGTAGGCTGTATGTATCTAGTATCAAAAACTTGTTTATGTCGATGACACGATTATCGAACGGCAAACTTAAACTGGTGCCACTGAAAGTGATCTCCTGCACTACTCCCAAACACAGTATAAAAGGAAACTATACTCCTTTGTGGCGTCTCAACTGTTTGTGTCAGATTGAGCTATGGTAACCGTTTTTTGTTTCTTTTTTTTTTAGTAAATGAAACTTATTTTGCATTTGTAGTAAGTAAGTAGGTACCTACTTATAAGATAAGTCATGTCTAAATCAAAATTCTACTATTATTGATACGATTACTTAAGTGTTTTTTTTTTGTGTGCATGGAACGGTTCGGAACAAACTGCATTGAATCTATATTGCATGTTGTGTCAGCCTATAATTGTTGTTGCATTGTAACTTTGTTCATAATTGTAATTTTTAAGTGTACATGTTGTAATGTAACAATGTTGGTAGACCTAATAAATAAATAAATAAATAAATAACTTAACAATTTATTTTCGCGGTCGATCGAGGAAAACATGGACTGCGTTAAGAGCGTTTACGCCGTTTAGCGCAAAAACAGTACTTTTTCAACTCGTTACAATCAATAACCAGTAATATTACAAATATGTTATAGGCATAAATAGTTAGGCAATTTCGTCGTCTAAATAGTTAATTGAGAAAATATTGCGATTAGTTTAGTACAAACATTTATATCCTATAGCATAGATCCTTGGGCAAATAGTTATCTGAGAAAATTTTTAGATTTAAGCATTTTACAATAAGAAATCACAAATTAAAAGAACGTGAAATACCCAAAAATCAAAGTGATTTTTTCACCAATATTCTTCCTTTATTCAACACAAAAATAGCTTAATATAATAGAAGAATATCTTATCTAAAATATTTACTGTGAAATTTAAAATAATTCGTTGTAATTTTTTTTCTATGAGTATTTGAAAACTACTATAAATCGCCGCGCACGAATCGTTCAAATTCAGTCCGCTTCGAGGCGTTCCAGAGTGAGGTCACGTCGCTCGGTGCTCTGCTGACATGTGTCACGCGTACGTTGATCTTTGACAGGTAGCTGGACTTTTATAGTGTATCCGCAAAATCTTGATGGTAGATTTTGCGATCACGTGGTAATTAAAATATTTTATTGTTATTTTTCATTACAGTCTATTTTTACAACAAATTCTATTTCAGACGTAATGAAAAATAAAATTAAGTTATTTTTAGCGATGAAACGAAAACGAATGACGAAAATTTGGAACAGCAAGTTACGTATGTATACTAATATTATAAAGAGGAATAATACTAATAATTTATTTGCCATAAATAGATGGTTACAGAATAGTTAATAGGAATGCTCTGCCAGCAGGGTCCCACCTAGTTGTAGGGGGAACATAATACACAACATATAACAGTCGGAAAATCTTTGCGGTAGGTACCTCGGATTGTAGTAAGTTGGACAGTGGTCATTTGATGGCCACTTGAATCGTCTCACCCCTAAGCTTTTGGCTACCGCCGGCGCACTAAGACAATAATTGATGCCTGTGTTAGAATATATATAATGTACATACCTGATTTATATTAATATTCCATAGTAAACATAATTGATACACTATTTCACTTGTTAAACACTACAGACACCGAACATTTGCACCGCCTCCATATTAACTGTCAGATTAGAATTCAGATTTCCATTTAGCAAATTAGAATTTATTGAAAGTTTTGTTGTTTCTTAATAATTCAGAATTTAATTTAGATATGTGATTCTAAATATAAGAAGTATTAAAACCCTGTTTTTGATATATTGTAAAATGAGAAACTCCAACTTCCGCTTCCGAATAAAAATATTTATAAAATCCTGTGCTCTGATTGGTAGACTGTTCTGATTGGTCGTTTAAGCCGACCAATCGAAGTTGAGTAAAAAAGGAGGGAGAATTTGGGTATAAATAGATGGAATTTCTCATTGATGGGCAGTCTAAAGCGGATATTTGTGGAGGTGCTGAGCCAAGTTAAGTATACATACTTTATTTACTATTACTATGCTGATTGTGCTATTGTATTGTATTTTGTGCTATTGTGCTATTGTGCTATTGTATTATGATCCTATTGTGTTGACACCTGACTAAACCTGATGGTGACATGCCACGGGGTCGGGTCGGTAGTTTGTTGACTAAACTATAAAAGAGAGGCAAATGCCTATAATTATGGGTTATACGTCACGGTCCTAAACCTTAGTATTAACCAATTCTAGATCTTGAGTAATATGTATATTGGTACATATGAACATAATATTTATACCTAACAATATCCACACTACCTTCAAAAGGGCAGAACACTGATTTTCAGCTTTTGCTAGAGAACGCATGAAGCGTACAGTGAAACAATGAACCCGCTCGCTTTCGGAAACAATATCTACATTAGTATTAAATATATTCTTATGAGACATAATCTTATGGTATAGTGTGCTTACTTTCTGTGAAAGTGTTCTTTCACAGAAAGAAGCAGTGGAAAGGGGGAGCGAGAGGCCTCAGCTGACACTCCGGTTATCCGCCGCCGACACCCTGGGCGCAAGAGGACAGCTTATGGTCTCCAACTGTCCCTTCCTAACAGGCCTCGGTCGCTAGACATGGAGGTGTCTGGTGGCGGCTAAGGACGAATGCTACAGGCAACAGCCAATGGCGATGTCCTGCGTTCACTCATAATCACTCATATGGATCATGGCAGAAACAGTCAGGTTTTTAGTGGGTGTAGGGGCTACCCACCTTCTGGTAGGAAGAACCTCACATAACCCACTAGCTGCCCCCGCAGCTGGTGGGTATGAAATGGTATGCATTTTCCGGATAAAAAAAGAATAGTTAACAGGAAAAGTTTGTTTTGAATAGAACCAATTTGAAAAATCTCTCACCATTAAAATTCAATTTTTTTTCTGCTGAACATAGGCTGTATAACATATTGTCAAAATAGTAAAAAACCTTTGATAATTTACTATTTGATAAAGAATTTACGTATTTATTATTTATTAGGACTAATGTATCCCATAATTAAAATTATGTAGTGTCCGACCGAAACTAGTTTTACGACCGAAACCGAAACCGAAAACGAATTTCGGCAACGGTGTCTGTTTCGGCCGAAACCGAAACCGAAACCGAAACTTCCTTACAAAGCTCATATTTTGAGGGAAAAATAAAGAAAACGTTATTATAATCAGTCAGTCTTTATTGTTTTCTCTTTCAATTGCATTAAAATTGAACTTATATAGCGCCTTTTCGAATCGATAAAATAAAGTGACAGATAAAACTTGATTATACTTTTATCAGTCACATTGAATATTTTTTTTATGTTTACTACCCGCTCTTGTTGTAACGACATAAAACGAGACAAAACTTACCAAATTCAAAATAAATCACTCGAAAATTCGCCACCACAACAAAACAAAACTAACAGCAATCAAACAAGCGAGCGAATCACGACATTGGCTCTGATCGGGATCGAATTCATTCCTCATTCAACGCGCCGAACATGACCGATAACAGCGCGGAAACTCCCGAATGCACATTCGGTTTCGGTCGTAGTTTCGGCAAGTTTGCCACCGAAAACGAAACTAAACCGAAACTCGTGTTTTTACCGAAACTCAACCGAAAACGAAACCGAAACCGAACATTCGGTCGGACACTAAAATTATGGAGTCGGTGTTGGAAGATTTGAAGATTTTATAGTTTCCTTGAGCTGTCACTTGACAGCCTGGCACACTTTTACTATGATGGATCAAAGTATTTTGGTTTGACTATAGAGCGTGAGAACACGCACACAGTCACAATTATTTTAGTGTGAATAAAAATAGCATCGAAATTACCTAAACTTGACATGCCACGCTAGACGTAAACGCTCTTAAATGTGTAACGTAAAATGATTTGCATAATAATTAGTGATCGTGAATGAAATCACGTCGGATGAATGGCACTGGGAGCGCGGGCGCGGGCGCGGGCGCGGCGTGGGAACCGGCGCGGGCGAGCCGGCGGCGACGCGCTGGTGACGCGGTGCGCTTGCGCAACATATCCTTTATTACCACTCGAAGTAGTTATCGGGGATGCATAAACAAGCGGTGTTTTGATTTCTCGATTGTCGTAAAAATATTAAAAGTGATATTTCAATTAGTTCGACGAACGGAACTCAGAAATGAAATGACGGAAATGTATTATTACTTTTTTTATAGTAGGAAAAGTGATAAATCTCACACTAGTCGGTTTTGTCAAAGTTTTTTATCTGTATATTTATTTTATAATTAGAAACTTTATATTAAGTTTCTTAACTTCCAACGAAAGTATGATGTCATCAAATTTCGTAAACCGCAACGTCATCAAAAGTTCAGCGGCTGACGTCGCAAGACTTCGAGTCGAAGTCGACGAGACGTATCGTTTAAGCCAGAATCGGGAAACGACAATAGAAAAAATAGCACGGGGCTCACCAGAACTCGCCGGGCGCCGCGCGCTCCTGCAGCAGCTCGCGGTCGCGCTCGGGCAGCGCGCGCCAGTAGTCCGCGGCCCGCGCGCCCGCCGCGCCCGCGCCCTCGCCGGCGCCCAGCGCGCGCAGCCGCACCAGCGCGCCCGCCTCGCCCTCGGCGCCGCGCACGCGCGCCAGCCCCGTCACCAGGCACGCGCGCGCGCCCGCCGCCAGCAGCAGCGTGGAGCGCGGCACGGCCGAGTGCAGCACGCGCAGCGTCAGCGCGCGCGCCTGCCGCGCCAGCACGAAGCTCTGCACCACGCCGCCCGACAGGTCCTGCAGCGCGCGCGCCGGGCAGCCGCCGCGCAGCGCCGCGTACGACCCGTACAGCCTGCGGGGGGCGACAGTGAGCTACCTCGTCAGCGCGCGCGAGGGTCGCGTCGGCGCGGCGCGGGACTCACTTGGCGTAGGCCTTCTCGAGCAGCGGCAGCGTGAAGTCGCCGGGCAGCGCGCCGCGGCTGTAGAGCGCGCGGCCGGCGCGCGTGGGCAGGCGGTCGTCCACCAGCACCTCGCGCCACGACCCGAACACCCAGAACTGGAACCTGCGCACGAGCGGTGGTTGGGACGCGTTGCCGACCCGCGCACTGCGGCGTCGCGAGGAGCCGTAAACTTATGTGCGCATAGTGTGTGGTGTTTGATGAAAATTATATCCTACTTCACACGGCATCTGGTATACATAAGAGCGAGCTGACATTCTAAGTAGGTATTCGCTGTAAATTAGAAAGATATATGTTTTGACAGTTAACATTAAGAGTCGGATGTTTGAACTGTACTAACATAAAACATTAGGTAATCCCCTATAAAACAAACACCGACTTAACGATCGCGACCGTTTTACGGCTCATTGAATTGACGTGACGGGCGCTAAACCGCTCGCAGGCACTCAGCTGACACGCCACTCACGCTCGTCGTTCACAGTATTGCAACGAGCGATAAATATCTGTCAAAGCATAAATACGCCAAACGCATGTTGAGAAAACATAAGTCTGCGCGAGGCTGCAGCGTCGTGCGGGCCGCGGCGAGGCTGACCTTAATTTTCCTATTGTTCCGACGAAACGAAATTACCCGCAGCCTCGAGCCGCGCGCGTGAGACATCGTGCGGCCGACGTCGCGCCGACTGTGATCTATTTGCATGTATGACATTTCGCTTTCGTCAGAACGGACGTGTTTCTCGCGAAGCATTTGCAACTCTCATAAAACTCTCGCAACTACAAGGAAACGAGTTATTATTTACATGAAATATGAATAATTTCGATAAACAAGGAAACGGAGCTCTATGGAAACCTGAAGGCGCCGGTGTAGCGGCGGCGGAAGGAGTGCGGCGGCGCCACGCGGGCCAGCAGGCGCGGCGTCCGCGCCAGCGCCGCGCTCGCCGCGCACACGCTCGCGTCGCCCAGCTCGCCCACCGTCACGCTCCACCTGCGGAGGACCACAGCCACGCATGAGTGCCCGCGCAACCCCGCTTTCATGATACGAGGGACGCGTCACATACAATCTTTGAAGCGGCCCATTAAAAAATATTAATTAGTATAGACAGATGAATAAAGTCAATCAAGCATATTCTTATATTGATGGCTCGATGGGATTCGTTACACGGATTGCGAGGAGGTGCGGCGGACCCACCTGGCGGCGAGCTCGTGGTCGGGCTCCAGCAGCTCGTCGTCGTCGTCGGCGGCGGGGTCGGCGGGGTCGGCGGCGGCGGGCGCGCGCTCGGAGCCGGCGTCGCTGCCCACCGCCGCCTCGTGCAGGAACGTCGGCCGCGCGCACAGCTCCTGCGCAGACAATACCTTCAGCCACTGATTGCTTTCCAAATGGTTCGTGAATTCGTGATACTGGCCATCTGCAAACTTTCCATCGACCCAAAATTGGGGTACTGTTAGTTTGTATACATACGCATCGGTGTGCCAGACTGTGGCATCGTAATCCCTGAGTGGATTTTGATCGAGTCGTGACTTGTGAAAGGCGGTGACTTTTAATCAGCGAATATTTAAGAAGCCGCAGCGTCGCTTCTCCCAGCAGCGGTTTGGAGGTCCGAGAGTAATTATATTTTACATAATTTGTTATAAAACTACATTAGGTAGGTTATTTATTTGCCGTATTTCATTCTATAGCGAGCCACAATATTTCTCCTCTAACAAACCAAAATCTACACTTATCGGACGGAGCCGCAAGCACACAAACATACGATTTGAATACAATGTGAATATCTAACTACCGCGCACGCCTGAATTTGCATGTATTTGTTGAAATCCATTCCAAGATATCGTTTATGAATTATTGAATTACTGATACAATGTGAATAGTATTAGCATCGCGCAGGCGATGGCGCCTTGACCAGCGAGTGCGGTCGCTCGAGCCCCGCGAGCGCTCAGCAGCCGCGAGCAGCTCGGGGAAATCTCCGCGCGTCGAGCGAGCGCTGCGGCCGCGCGGGGCGGTATGCTCCCAACAGGATGCACTCTCTCCTTGTTTAAATGTTTGGACAGAAAGCGCGTGCATTCGCGATGTACTCGCGCCTATCCGGGGTCGACAAATTGTTTGCATGTGTCAATTAGAAAGTTTATTACGACGATACGATATGACAAAACATGCATTCATGATCGATTTACCGATTAACACATGAATATACACGTCAGTCAGTGCAAGTGTATGACTGTTACGCTAGTCGTGTCTAGTTTTTGCCGTCGCGACTCTACTTGCGGTTGCGGCACGCGGTCGCGCGCGTTCCTAGTACGAGCGAATCGACTTCACCTACTTGTAAATGCAAGATTATCAAGCGACATGACCGTAGCAAAGCACATCATGACTCGATGCCAGCCATCAGTTTAAGTTGCAGAGAAAGTTTACGCTGGCGTAAAATTTTAATATCATAAAGATGGCCTTAGAAAACCGGACGCACGCGCTAAAAGCTCGCGTCGAATGTTCCTGTACTAAAATAACGTATCGCCCACTTAGTAAATCGGCGTTCATCAGAATACACAATAGTGATATGATGTATTCGAATGGAATTACAAAGAGTATTGGCAGCAAAGGAGCATGATTGCCAGCGCGGTTCCGCGAATGGTCCCGCGCTTAGTATGCGCGGCGAGGCGGCTACGCGCCAAACAAGGGCAAATGCTGACCACTTTCAGGGACTAATCAAATCAAAAATATTTTATTTGTAACAAATAGAGCATCATGTAATAGTAAGTAGGTATATTTTTGACTTTTTCACTTCATATCTATTTTAATTAATTATGTACTAACATCTATCCAATAATAGAGCATCAGTCAGTATGAGTATGACGTAAGTAAGTAGGTTCTATGATATGATGTAACTTATACAAATTTACAACAAAACATGTATGTTTATATCCTTTTGTCCATACCCATATTACAAGCTTTGCTTAGTTTGGGTATGGTATGGAGTTATGGACGCAGTGTAAAATGTCCAAGGATATTATTTTCTTAGTTCTTTTCTCCATACTTTTATAAGTCTGGGTTGTAACTATTATTATTAGCACATTCAGTGAATACGATATCGAATTCTAAACCGAAACAAAAATCACATTAAGCCTTAACTCGAAATCGTTTTATTTGAAAATAATGTTAGAAAGAAAGGTTCAAACTTAATTTGTAAATACATCTATAGTTGATGATATGTTTTTAATTCAGGACAATATGTATGTTACGTGTGCGTGTGGCTGACTGGCGCGATGGCGGGGTCCCGACGAGGCAGCCATACTAATGGCCAGCGCATAAATTCAACGCGGCGAGCGCTGCGCTGCAATCACTTATCAAACGATAATTTAGTTAATCAATTTCTGCTCCACCCATAAATCGAAAGTACTACGCATAAATTGCGTACAGCTAGACCGGTTTCCACTTCCTGAATTTTACGAGAAGTACAAAGTAGCGGTTAATACGATGCGAGTTGTCATAAAACGAAACGACAAAAACAGTGCACTGACACGATTTTTCTCGCAGTTTGTTGTTTTTCGTGTAAAAGGGTTATTACAACTTAGTAATGTTTTTGGCTAGTATGCTAGTACGCGCGGGCATTGCAGTTGCAGAGCGCGCGCGTTGATGTCTTTTGTTTTATTAACTAATTATTACTGTGTTTCATAAGTATTGTTATGATCATCAATTTGTCACGCGTGGAATTGGTTTCGTTGTATTAATTCCTACCTCGACCAAATATGACTGTATGATGGTACTTTCATATAGCTGTAAAAGCTGTACATAAGTAGTTGTATTGTAGAGTGCGTATTCTGCGTATGGCGCGCAGTCGACGGTCAGTGCGTGCCGCGCCGCGCTCGAATGACCGTTCATTGGGATATACGAGTAGGTTAATAATTACTAGTAAAGTAGAAAGGGATGTAATTATATCTGATATAATTGAATCTCTTTCGTCACAGTCGCGGCTGCGCGCGCGGCTGGCTTCGGGCGCGGTGTGTCGGAGGCACAACTAGACCGGAAGAAATGCGCGATCGAGTTTCGTGAAGATGCACATTCGTCGTAGATAACAGTAATAAGATGATTCGGAGTTCGTTAAATGGAGTGAACAAACTTCATAACATTTCCATGAATGTCATATTTACGTTTTCATTGTTATAATTAAATACACAGTAGCTTTATTTACACAATAATAAAATCACGTCAAATTAATTAATAAAATGTAGTAAAGTAATGGCGCGTGGTCCCGGTGGGACTTCGCCCTCGTAAGTGGCGTCGCGGCGCGCCGTCATCGTCGCCGCTTCCTGACTCCGAGAACTTATTCAAAGCCGAACGGTATTTGTAACGGTCTGTGTGAGTCCGATTCTCTAGCGTTCGTCAAATTATGTAGACAGTAATAAATCTTAACACGTCAGTCTGCAGGTCTCGTTGTCAAGTGCAGTTAGCGAATTGTTGCAGCATTGCTGCGCCTTGCCGTTACTGTCGGAGGCAATGTCAGCAGATTGCGGTACACTTTTTAAGTATAAAAAAATGTTTAAAAGATTGTTTTCGGAATCAGAAATATTTTGTCATGGATTATATTGTCATGAAAGTCTTAATACGAGTATGCTATATTTACTGCAATAAAATGTTAGTGCATGCATTCCGCGTGTCTTCAAAAGCAACTTCATCGGCGCTGACGTGCAAATTACGAGTCAGAGCTCGGCGCGGGCGCGGGCGGTCCCGTTGCGCGCCGCCTCCGCCCCCGACTGATTGATAATAAGGCCGAGTGTCGCACGCGCATGCCATGCCCACCGCTGGATATGACTCGGTAATACCTGCGCCCTGCGCGCCGCTCAATGCACTATTGAACTCGCGAAGTCGCGACACCGTTTGAACCAGTGATGAGACGCTCGAAATAAAATATTATTGGCGATGGTATGCCGTGTGGTGACGGCAGAGTAGAATACATTTGTCACCAACCCCTACTCTTCCCGCGGGTGTCGTAAGAGGCGACTTAGGGTCCACACATCAAACAGAGAACGGGCAGCAGCGCTCTCTGAAAAACATCAATCTTTTAAACTGCGATCTCCAACCCGCCTGCCAAGCGTGGGGATTATGGCAAAACCCTCCACTATAGTGGAGGAGGCTCATAGTCCAGCAGTGGACTGTAAAGGGCTGTTGATGATGATGATGGTACGGGTCCAACATTATTCCAAAACTATGCAACAAAACCAGTGTTGTACCTATTTAGTTATATAATTTTCTTTTTGAAGATCGCGAGCCGCAGAGTGGCTAATAAAATTCGTGGCGAGCATTCATGACGCGACACGAACTATTCAGTACCAGTAATACATACTTTACACATCTGCATGTTTTACAATGTGACATTATATGGATTATCACAAGGCTTTCTTTTTGCATTGTGTTCTCCAAATAGTGTGAGAACTGCTACAACACTTGCCGTGTTTTAATAAAAGCATCTTAGGTCAGTGTCTCGAACTCTCTATTTAATTACCAAATGTTGTATTCTTTAGATCGACAACGGTCCCGAGGTGCTCTCTAAGAAGCGTACTGGCGTGAAAGTGTGCTCTTTCTGCAATACTGGGAACTATTGCGATAGAGACGTGCGCCGGCGCGGAAGAAACTCTTTTAACAGTTGTTTCTAAATACCACATGAATTCTTGTGCGAAACCATACTTAATCTTCAACACGCCTTTCTCTAGACTTTATGTATGTATAGTGCCTGAATAGTCAGCAGTCGAGCTGCAAACTGACAACAAGCATCCGAGTCCAGTATCTAGATCACTAGAGTCCGGTTGGGTGGTTCAGGTCAGGTCTCGAATAGGACAGATTGTACTCTACATATTTATTACGCAAGGACTCGTTAAGCGCTCCGACCGAATCATGCCAGACGTATGTCGCTCGACACTTGGGTTGGTCTCAAGTACCTACAACTAAATGTAAAGGCAGCACTCACATGCGGGCGCAGCCACAGCACGCCGGCCGCGCGGCGCTTGTCGCCCACGGCGCGCCACGACGCCGGGAACTCGGGGTCCTCCCACAGCGCCTCCGCGCCGCCCGCGCCCGCGCCCGCGCCCCAGCACCTGCGGGCACGCGGCTCGTGATCCCGACCTGCGCACTCTCCGAGACCCGCCTCCCAGCTGGCTACCCCGGCCGGGCTGGGATGCGCGCCGTGATAACATTTTATCGATGATTTTAGACGACAAAATGTAAAATCAATAAAATGGCGCGATAAAAATTTATCACAGCGCGCATCCTCGGTTTACAGGAGCTACAGGTCAATCAGGTGACGTGACTATACTGCGTGACGGGGATCAACAACCAACATAAACAATAGAATTTAAACCAAAAAAGTAGGTACCTCACAAAAGAAAATAACAACTAAAACTAATCAACAGGGTACAGACACCAAAATGGCATCCGCTCAGTATAAGCCGTGACGGCCGAGAGCGCGTCACGACCACTGGCATTTTATCCTTCAAACGACTGTCCAACGCTGGAAAGATGGATGGAGATACAAAATTATCCATATGTCCTTTCCCACGGTGAGCATTGGATGTAAATATCAGCAGGCGATTGTGTCGTTATTGACAACTAGCATTGTAGGAGCACTCCCTTGCGCGAGGTCGCTGCTGCGGTCATCGGCCGCGGCCCGCGCGGCACAGGCGGCGCTCCACCGGCGTCGCCGCAAAAACTGCCGCCCGCGCCGCCGCCGCCGGTAACGATCGCTAATTAGACGAGTGATTGATCTACCGTGACGGGCCGGGCCTTCCGTACCGTTGACCTCCCGAAGGTGCACTCTCATCTTATTGGATCCATGATTCAGCAAAACCTGTCGTCGAGGGTGTGATATATCTTAGGACATGTCCGAAGTTTAGGTCAAAGCATCTCGACCGTCTTACTTATTACTACAATACAACACTTTAAAAAGAAAGAAAAGCAAGCTTACCTGGAGAGCGTGGAGTGGTCATCCCGGCGGGCGCTTCCGTTGACGCCGTCTGCGGACAAGCATTTTATCTTAATGACAGTTTATGGGAAACGACCAGAGGTAATGCAGGTTAAGTCATTCGTCCTAACTGGCAATCAAAGCTATGATTTGAAAAACCATATTATAGTATCAGGTTTAATTTTTACGTTTTTTCCACACTAATGAGGAACCCCAGAAAAGAAGTGAAAACAGCGGGAAACCGATGACAACGGACCGGAGCCGGAGCGAAGCCACCCGCGGCCGCGACGAATGTTTGCGCTTTGTTCGGAAGGCGGCGACATTGGCGGTGACTGGACTGCGTGGCCTCTGAGGCCGCGAGCCGAGCCCGGAGTCAGGCGCACGGCCGGCAGTGCATACGCGACGAGTTTCAACAAAGCTGTTCACAGATTAGAGAAAATGTTTCTCTAGCTCTAGGCTAGGTAAAACCACCAGGTAAAACTAGATAACCGACCAGCGAAACTAAAAGTATACATGTGCTAGTCTTACCCATTTAGACGTCCAGTAAGTATGTACCTACTATTATATTCAGGTTCATCACTTATGTAGAGCAGTGGTCGATGAGGATTGAACTAACGACCATCGAATCCTGGGCACCAATTGTATTTATTGAAAATACATCGACAACATAAATATTATTTTTACTCGTATGTGTTCCGAGGTCGTTTCACAATAGTATTGAATGCGTATTTACACGTATTATGCGATGTTCCAAAACAAGGTCGCTGTGACACCCGCGCCGGGCCTGTCTGCCACATGGATAAACATTTTACTACCTACTAGTTTGGAGTAATGAATGTCGTATAGAACCTCGTCAACTCGTACAGTATCCTTGCTTACGTAACTTCATTTGATTTTAAAGCTAGTTGAATATTTTTGCGTAGATTTTTCCGGTTTGCCATGCTAAATGTTTCTAGAGAAAATCAACTTGGCTGGCCAAGATAGATACAGTCAAACGCAAATCTTTATCTTGAAAATTTATTGACCATTTGAAGAAGCAATCATTATAAGGGCTGCTACTCTCTTCTGCTTGCGAGAATTTCAACTCATTTTCAAGGGCAACTGTAGTGCGGTGGCACCCCTGCGACCGTGAGCCTGTGCACCGCGCGCGCAGTCATGTTCTTGACATCCATTTGCAGTTAACTTGAAAACCATTTTAGCTGTTACATTATTTGTTTTAACATTAGCAGTTAGTTGTGCTTGAGTCATTTCATAAAATCAATGAACAAATCAATAAGTAAATGGCCTTTGTCCAGCAGAGGACATAATTCGGTTGAAACGAACGAAATGGCTATTAAAATTTGAATTCGTTTTTAATTAGCATTATAAATCTTATATTAAACATAAATCGTTCGGACTGCGTTTATTTAATTTTATTACTTTGTTGAAGATTCAGATAGGGGTGGCTGCACTTGTCGAGCGGGCAAGTTGCGCTCGCCCACGAGGCCACGCCCGCGCCGGCGCTAATTAGTCGCCCGGCGGCTGCCACAATGGGCGACGTCAATGCAAGTCGGATCGTTCGCACGATAGCCGAGCCGCAAGGAGCAGCGTGTCGTCTAGAATAGCCGCGCATAAAACGAGGTGCAATGGCAGAATCAGTCAGGTGGGAAGGCTGGCAATTATCACGAGAATATACGACGTCGACGGCGCAGGAGGCCCGCGGCAACGGTACGCGCGACGCGCCGGAATGCGCGGCACGGCACGGGGCCATAACGCACACCACTTACATACTTTTACGGCAAACATTATCGTTTGGAATGGGTACACGGCGCCAGCACCTTTAAAATACTTTCTGGCTTAGCAAATTACACAAAAACCTAGTTATCTACTTTTATTAAATTCAGTAGGTAATAAATAGTAATACGGAAAAAGGACGCAGTAGTCATACTTAATCATAACACACAGTGACATTATAGGGCTTTTACCTCAGTCAGTAACCCTAAATCTGGTGAGGTGACCTTAGTGGTCTAGTGGCCGTAGTGCAATCGCAACGGCGGAGCTGATGTGGCGCGCGCGTGCATTCGCGCTCCGGGCACTTTCACTGCGAGCGCCGAGTGCTCCATATCGCTCAAACGAACAAAGCCTCCGCGGACCGTGGGAACAGAGAATGGAAGGAGCCATTACCGGCCGGCTTTATCGCCGTCTAATGTGTGTTAATAGGCTTTTGAATTTCGACTGTAGCTACTCCACGTCGCACTCCACTGCTCGAGTGCTCCGCAGTTCGCATTGCCAAACTAAATTAAAAAAAGATGCAGTGCCGTATTGCTGAACAAATTGTCCCGTTCCATTTTTTATGCAAGCCAAAACAATTAATGCTGGCAATAACATTAAAGAAACTACATTACATCCCTGTTCAACGTCCAATATTCTCGTGTAAAGAAGACTACTACGCGGTTAAATTAGAAGTAAATCGTAAAATTGACGAAAGAGTTTGATGAAGTCATCTCATCACATTAGCTCAAGCAGATTAGATACCAAGTCCCGGGCGAGATACGGCGCGCGTGAGTAGAGTCGATTCACGCAGCGTTTACGGGCAGATAGGAATGCCAATTTAATCAACAGACAATATATTATGTATCTCTGAAAGTATTTGTAAATATTAATGTACCTACTATTTACACACAGATGTTTTTAAACAATACTAATTTCTATATCGAAATAGGTCATCATCTTTCAAAATAAGGTCGGCCGCGCATATCACAAGTCTGTAAAGACGGCAAGAGAGCGTTAAACTATTGGTCCTTTTAGATGTTATTATCAGATTACTAATATTATAATATGGAATACATAAACATACAGGTCAAACTGAGGAGAATAAAAAAAGGAAAACCTCCAACTTCAGGCTATAATCCCATCAAACCCTAAGCGCATGAGACAATTATTATCTATTTTCGCGTAACAATTGATATAATCGATTTTGTCTCGATTCACGGGACTCGAGGGGGAATAGATCATTTGGCAGCAGCAGCTTATTGAAACGAATAAGATACTCACTGGCATGGCCGTTGGCGTGCCCGTTGAGGAGCGTGTGGGGCGGCCGCGCGTGGGGCGCCCGCGCGTGCGGCGCGTGGGCGGGGGCGGGCGCGGGCGCGGGCGCGGGCGAGCGGCCGCGCGTGCGCATGAACTTCCTCATGGTGCGCGCGCGCGGCCCCGCCGCTCAGCATCGCGCGCCACCTGCGGCACACGCACCCAACACCTGCAGTACCCCGTGACATAGATCGTGCCATCCACGAACACGCGCCCTACCATTCCTCCACTAATGATTGAGTGTTATCGGTATACGCTAAATTATGGTTAAATTATCCATGAGTGCACACGCACACTACAATAATGACGCTCGGATTGTTCGAATCAAACTCCTCGTACCCTGGCGCTTCCCTCGACCAAAAAGTGGTGGTTGGTGGAGCGCGTCTTCGGTACTGGATGGCACGATCTATCTATACGTAGTTTCGGGTCTATCTGTCACCGTCGCTCACGCTGTCACCTCGCTGAAGGATGGCGACGTTCGAAACTTCGGACAACGTTTTTGGGAGGAGCCCCGCAGCAGTCTGCCCCTGCTCAGCGGTGAAGCGAAGCCAACCCGGTACCGAAGGATAGTTCGACGACTTCCTTGAAATGGCAAGGATATGAATCGCAAATCTTTGAGACAAGGTAACACATAGGTACTCTAATATCTCTTCGGTACCATAACGAAATGCCTTCTTCTTCGATGTTGACCATGGGCACCGATTGACTGGCGATCGAGCTCGAATAGAGCGGCTTAGCGGGACAGCAGGCACAAGTAGGTAGCTAAAACGAATCCCTCGTATTGTTTTCTGGGTGAGATTCCCTTATGTTTGATGGCTACTTATAATAAATCGTTACTTAATTTAGTTACTAAGTACCTATAGTGCATTCGCGTTAAAAAAAGTTTGTCCAAGTTAAGCAACGCCGTTTGACAAATTAGGTCAAAGTAAAGTAAAATTAGAAAGCCGTGTTCACATTGGCCAGTTAAAGTAAACATGGTTCAGACGATTTTGCATTTAAATGATAATGGTTCGATTTTCTACCAGTGTATAAATAAAATAAGCCGTAATTGCTGATTTATCAATCTTCCTAACTTGAATGAAGGATAAGATTGTTAAATATAAGTAATACCTAGGTATGTACATAAAGAGCACTAGGCAGGTAGGTAGGTCCCTTGTTTAGCATTCTCAAACGATACTTGTGTGTTTCGTTCGTGTTTACTTCAATTTGTCTACACAAAATTACAACTGATTGAATGCGAAGAAAAATTCAGTTGATGATTTGTTGTTTAATACTTTATCATTAATCTATCTATACCCAATAATGTTTTTTTCCACTTTGTTCGCCTGGGTGAAATGGTTCCGAGGTGAAATGAGGACACTAACAATCTACTTTGTTCACCCAGGTGATATCACCCAGATGAACAAAGTGGAATAAACCCTAATAATAATAATTGTACTATTTAGCAGAATATCTGAAACACTGACGTCGAATAAGTATCAGGTAGCTTCAACACCGCTTTAATAATAAATTAATGCAGGTAAGCAGTTAAGCACGCTGAGCAATCAATTTTTTACTCGTACAGTGCGATAGAAACATGGTACCATTTCAGTGTTATTCTTCAATTCAACAAAAGGTAATACATTTCCGTTTGATAATATTACCTATTGTTTCATATAAACACGCATACGTATGTTTTTCTGTTCCTTAAAAAGTATAAGTAGCCTATCTTTTCTTCCGTAGTGTAAGCTTTCCATTCCATGACTTCAGCCGGTCCTAATGCAATAAAGTGAATCTTTGCATGATTTACCGACAATAGGTAAATCATGCAAAGATTCACTTTATTGCATCGCACGATGGAATTATTTATCTATTAAGTAAAGATAATCCATCTTCTTTTCCAATCCCTTTTTAGAGGTATTATCCCAATGCAGCAATCTTTTTTTCATTACACGTATAGCTCTTTTTATACTGGATTAAAGTTGGAGCTAGTTGGCAGTATATACCGCATAATACTAACGGGTTAACAATTACCGCGGTTACCGACAAGCACGGCGGCAAAGATGTAGGTAAGCGAGTGCACTCGACCTTGGTGATGTTACCGAGAACACTCGTCGGCGACACCGCCGGGGGCAGTCACCGCCGACTCCCGTGACATAACGTTACGAGTGACCTGCCTGCTCTGCAGAACCAACTTATTTTTGCACAGATTCATCCAGCGTTACATTCTCGAGGGAATCTCACAACTAATAACGTCATTGTACGCAAATTAATACCTACGTACAAGTGAACTTTTTGCAGTAGACGTATAAACCATAGACCAGCGCCGGCGGCGATGACGATCCGGATCAAAATCCCAACACTTATTGCACTGAGTTACCGGAAGATGCGTGGACGCCGCGGGGGCGGGGGCGGGCACTCGCGACACGTGCGCTGCGGGCGGCGGGCGCGCCTCGACTGCCGCCGCCGCCGCCGCCACCGCCGCGCCGGCCCGCACGAGGCACTGATACACACTTACATACTGATAATCTCATTTACATTCCCCATAATTAAACGCCGACATGAACTCGCCCTCATCAAAAACTTATAATTTACAAAACAATACCATCCCGGCAGTTTTATTAACGGTTACAACGACTTCGGCGTCTAATTTATTACGGTGTATGTTGGTGTTTGGTATGGGAAATGTTAGCTTACGTTCAAAAGACTTATTTACCAAGTCTGCTACTATTTCAAAGTTTACGCAAGATGTTACCTGCTTTAATAAATAAATAGTCAATTGCTCTACTTACTTGACTTTTCACTTTAAAACGCTCCATCAAATGGTATCACTAAGGTTACAGAATAAACTGGATCTATTCGAAAATTCAACGGCCAAACATGTATGGAAAAGGGCGCCAGTAATTGCCGCTATTGGATCGGTCACGGATATTGTTACCGCTGTAGGGAGTAGATACTACTGATCCCAGTTCGCGTTAAGCCGGGTCTCCAGCACGTGTTTTGCCCTACTCAATCAACAAAAACATCTCAACATTCAATAAAATTGCCTACAAAAAAATTTAATGTTGACATGCTTTTTGTTGTTTGTGTGTGTAGGGCAAAACACGAGCTGGAGACTGGGCTTTACTCAAAACCAACAATAAAAATAACAAAAACTAACAAAAATATTAGATGAAGCCATGGGAAAAAATCAATTAAAAAGTAGATAATACATTACATACTTCTAAAATATGTATGTTAAATACGTAAATAATTAGATACATAAATAGATATTCCTTCTCAGAACTGACACTGCAACCCTGGACATGTGGAGAACAACGCCTCACTTGCGATGCCCGCATACTCCCTGCAGTGTTCCGGCGGCGCCGCTTTCTCAGACCGGCGTGGAGCCCATTCTTCTGCGCTCTCACAAATAAAACAATCGACTAGGAAATATTCTCGTAACTATTTATTCATTTGGCTACATTTGACTCGTAATACTAGACACTGAGAATTATTGTTCTAATTCAACTAGGCTACTTAATAATTAACAATAGAAAAATATTATACATACAGAGATAGGTACTATAATCACAATATTTAAAATATAATAAAAAAATAGGGGACAATTCTCACGCGAGTACATTTAATTCTTGTACGTATATTGAGGTTAAGTTACGTATGCTATTGTGCAGATTTAAAGCATCAGTATTTTTGTCGTTGATTGGTTTAACTACTTATAAACTTATTAAGTATTTTTATTTTCATATAAATAGAATTAAATTGCACTCGCGTGATAATTCCAAAAATATAGCGTCGCATATCGATGTCGTGAGGAGATAATGTGTTCAGTCAATGTCGACCTTCATACGCCATTTAGTTCAAAGACACGTAACCAGCACTAATATGACCGTGCGTCCCAAGTTAAGATGTGTATACTTCGGCAAATTCGATAATGACGTCGTATGATCGCAAGCCTCGATGCACGACTACTTCTGTGACGCCAGCCTTATTTTCAATTAATAGAATTTATCTTTCATACTACATAAGCCCATAATGGGAACAATTCAAACGCTACTAAATGACTCAAACTGGACTTCGAAATCGTCTTTGATAGGTGGAGTAAGTGAAGCTTTAAAACTGAAAAATAAAAACCTTCATAGGGCAACGTTTTTCTCTTAATGTAGTCCATAAATTTTATGTAACAGCCGCATATAAAATATATTTAATAGTGTTTTAGAGATTAGTTAATTTTAAAAATGGTGATTTAGATTTTTTATTTTATTTTTGTGCTATTGGCAACGAACTATTTGTGTTGTGCATGAACGTGGGTGCAATGAAATCAATTTATTGAAATATATTTTACTACAAAAAATAGAATTATTTATATGCGATATGTGTAAATGTGGTCGGAATAAAAATCAATGACCCGTAGGAAGTGTCGTTTAAGCTAAGGTTACTGATGAGGACTACGACGCGACATAATAGCCAGTTTTGGAAAATCATTTTGTATGATATTTCCTGGATTTATTAAGTGGATAACCTGATCAATTCTCATTATGTTAACCAAATATCACAGTAACTTTGTCAAGTTTAGCATCAATTTAATTGAAATACTTCAGATATTATTTGACTTGTTATCGTTCGTCATACCACGATTTCAGCAGTGCTTGGTCGTATAGTTCTATCAAAAGGTTGTTCGCGGTGACTCAATTCGCTAATAGGCTGAGAGATTCGATCTCCAGGCAGATCGGGTGAAAGGAAGGAACTATAAATGCATAAAGGAATGTATATTAAATACTAAAATTAGCACGCCGTACGCTGGTTTCTGACATTAACTACATATTTTTGGGTAGTTATTGCATGCGGCAAACGTTTAAGACGTTTGATGAATGAAATGAACACCTATCATAACAAGGCCTGCCAGCAGCCAGCGTACGCCACGTGTATGTTCGTAAGACACGACAACGATAAACATTTAGACTAGTGTATCATCAACGTATTCTAAAAATCGAATATGTTAAGAAGTGATTATCACATATTTATTCATGACGTTCAACGAATAATCACGGTGGAATCTTATTCTTGTTTAAATTCTGCTTTGTTTTATTTTATTAATCAGTTGAGAATTAAATTAAAAAAATATGCTGACTCGGTATCAATGTTTCATATGCTTTTCTTTAAGATATTGCACAGTCACCATATCATAAAAAATAAATAACAATAGCCGGATAGCACAAATCGGCACGGACCGCACATCCAACATGATTTATAACCATGAATTTACGCCCGCGGCGAGTCTGTCGGTCTCGAAACCAGTTTTAAGTCTGAATCGAGTTCAGAGCAGAGAATCGGGACAGGCACGGTTCGGCGGGAATCGTCGCGCGGAAGTTTTCAAAATATTTCTCGCCGTCATTCGTGAAGAAATCGAGTCAGCGAAAGGGATACGCTCAGTCGTCGTCGCTGGCGTCGGCGGAGGGCGCGGAGGGCGCGGGCTCGGCGGCGCGCTGCGCCATCTCGGACTCGGAGTCGGAGGGCGCGCCGTCGTCGGACTCGGAGTCCGAGCAGCACTCGCGGCTCGTGCTCTGCGGAACGAAGCGAACGTCAGCGACAAAAAAATGGCCCCGTCGACTCCTTCCCGGCTCCGAGGGGTCATGTTTAGATCATTATGTCATTTCAGAATTTTTTATAATCGTTTAAACGCTATCATTTTAAGGCGTAGTGTGAGTTTACATCAAACGTACTATCCGTTCGCTTTAAGTTTGCCGCTGGCGATATAATGTCATTCGAAGGGAAGCGTCTATAACTATAACAAACTATATTTAAAATATTTTTTATTTATTATTATTGATAAAAATTGTGTATTTGCGTAAAATAAGACACATTAATTGTGTTTAATCACTAATTACGTTTAATGGCGGTTGGGAGAACGGACGCGCATTCCACGGACCGGCAAACTTAGCGCGAACGGGTAGTATTCGATATCCAGTACAATGCTATTGGGTGCGGGTAGTACCTAACGATTTGTTAGTTGACTCATACGTTTTGGCGCGTTTTCAGCAGCTGAGCGGATATCGCGTGCGTCAAAAAAATCTATGAAAATTTTAGTTCTCGAAATATCCGCTAGGGACGCCGTACAATCCAGCCTACGTTTTTTTATTTTTTTATTCGGAAAACCAACAGCAATACAATACAAATAATGGGACCTCAAATTATGTATCTGCTTAGCCATTTATAGGTAATCGCAAATGGTAGCGTTTAATGTAATTCTTTCACCCGCTCGATATCGAACACGTTCGATGTAAACTCGCACTGTGCCCCCTGGCAAACGGCCGGGCGGGGGAGACGAGGAGCGCGGGCACGCACCTGGTGGCAGACGAAGGGCAGCACGCGGTGGCTCTCGGGCAGCAGGTGGTAGGAGCAGGAGGGGCGCGGCGCGGGCGGGGCGGTGGGGGCGGGGGCGGGGCGCCAGCGCGGCAGCAGCAGCACGCACGGCGGCAGCTCCACGTGGATGGTGCCGCACGACGCCGACAGCCGCGCGCCGCGCCCCGCCCCCGCCGCCGCCGCCCCTGCCTCGTCCGCGCCGCGCCCGCGGTGCGCGCGGGGCATCGTGCCTGCAACATACGACAGATCGTTACTCTTACGCCTCAGCCGCCCCACTCGCGAGGGTTGATCGAAGTGGACGGTGGGGACGTGCCCTTCGCTCTCGCTTCGGCCGAAGTTTGAACGCGAAGCGTTCGACCGCACCACTCAGCCGACTGTGGTTCAAGTCGAGACATCGCCCTTAGAATTTGAACTTTGTCATAATGAACGACATCACCATCGCAGCCGCCTCTCAAACACATTGTAAACACTTAATATGCAATAAAAAATTTGAATTTGAATATAAAAAAAAAATCGGTTATTCTAACTATCGCCTAGTGCACGGAAATCGCGAGCGCTTTCCGCGCATTAGGCGACTGGAAATCGCATGAGTGTGTGGATACGAGCTCGGAATTTCGGTTACTTTTCTCGAAGACTTCGACAAAGCGTCGTGATAATTAACGAGACATCGTGACAATACTGATGAGACTTAAAAGTATAAGTTCAACTGAGATCGCTTTTATGTTGAAACGTAAACTTTCGGTCAAATCAACGCGTGCAGCGCGTGCATAGATCGCTACGACCAATGACAAGACGCGTTGATGTGAACTCATCGCTACAAACATCTTCATCGCCATCGCGCACGCAAGCTGCACACGTCGGTCCGGCCGAACCTTCAGTCAGCGAATGGCCTGACCTTGGAAGTCTTCGAGCGGCGCGCGGACGGCGCGCTCGTTGAACTCGAGCGTCTGGCTGGCGCGCGCGTGGCGGCAGCGCGGCGCGCCCGCGCCCTGCACGCGCCACCACCAGTACGAGCTGCCGCCCCCGCCCGCGCCCGCACCGTTCACGCTCTCGTAGATGTTCTCCGGCTGCTGCGCCTGCAAGTCGAGGACGTTGTCGTGTGTCAACTTATTGGCTGAGTTGCATCATCTTATTTGAACCGTTATGGTGCGTCCACACTGGGGGAACAGGCTCGCGCGGCAAACTCGACATCCTGCTCACTCAAGAGCAGGATGACCAGCGTGCCGCGCGAGCCCGTTCGCTCAATGTGGACGCACCATAACAATAACCGGTGTTTTACGTATGTTTGACAGATTTTTGACGTTTGTCAAAATTAAAGTAAGATGATGCAACTCAGTCTAATAGAAGAACGAAAGTGTTTTATGGACGAAGATGAAAGGCAACACGATCCCTTTGGCGATAGCGATAACGCCATGGCTGGACCCACCCTCACAGGAAGATTCCACCAGGAAGGCGTTGCCACAAACGTTGTATAAATTGCAACAACGACCATGGTGCGTAAATTTAATTTGAAATATAGCATCAGTTGTAAATTCAGCAGTAAAATCTTTTTTAAAGGAATCTCAGTCTGCGGGTAAGAAACTGGCAACGCGACGCGACGGCGGAGCAGCGGCGATGAGAAGTAGTATTGCGATTTGCGATCACCCCGCTTCGCTGCTGCCCGTTTCGTGTGCGTCTCCATAATATACTGTCCACGTTGCTGTATGCATCGCCGCCGTTTCGCCGTCGCGTCCCCCAGCCATCGCACGGCCTTCGCCAATTTCGTGCCCGCAGACTGTGTCGTTATTTTGATTCGTGTAAACAAACGAAGCGGTCGAGTCGAGGCCGCGCGTCACCTGGTCGGCGATGGGCCGCAGCTGCCGGCGCGCGTACAGCGCCCGCCAGCGCGCGGCGTGCGGCGGCAGCCCCGCGCCCGCGCCCGCCCCCGCCACGCCCACGCCCATGCCCAGGTTCACGCCCATGCCCATGCCCACGCCCACGCCGACCCCGTAGATACCCACGTTCGGGTACCTGAGCGAAAAGATAAGGTGAAAATCTGTACTTGTGGTCGCCAACACAAAAAAATAACATTAAAAATGAATAATATCCGTAATAGATTTTTCCGTAATGCCATGCGACCACAGGTAATTAAATTTACCCGTAGACCCGGTTATAGATCGACCCACCGGGACCACGGGTAAACACTAATTTGTTTCAGTACTTATTTAAAAAGTATATTATGTAACAAAAGTGTGCAACTCACGCCTGCGCCTGCGCCTGCGCCACGGACGGCGGCGGCGGCGGCGGGTCGTGCACGTGCACGTGCAGGCGGCGCGGGCCCGCGCGCGCGCCCCGCAGCGCCGGCTGGGGGGCGCGCGCGCGGCATCAGGCGCCCCACTCCACCACGCACACGCCGGCGTACGAGCGGCCCACCGACATGCGCTCGCCCAGCAGCGTCCACGCCTCCGCCGCCGGGTCGAACACCTCCACCGAGTCCAGGTTGGCCGCGCCGTCGTCGCCGCCCACCACGTACAGCTTGCCCTTGTGCGCCACGACGGCGGCGTTGCGGCGCGCCGTGTGCATCGGCGGCGCCGGCGCCCAGCCGCCCGCGTCGGGCCGGTAGCGCTCCACGGAGCGGCGCACGGCCGGCCCGTCGTGGCCGCCCACCGCGTACAGCGCGCCACCCACCGCGCCCACGCCCGCGCCCGAGCGCCGTGCGCTCATCTCGGGGCACGGCTCCCACGCGTCGCGCGCCGGGTCGTACCTGCCGAGTGCCGAGCGGAGGCGGTCAGTTCGTCGCTCGCGGGCCCGTGCCAGAGTCAATACAAACAAGTAGGTTATCTTCATACAAACGCACCGAGCACGGTATAAAGGTGAGCGCGCAGATACGTATGCGGCGCGCTCGCACACATTGACATAATTTATCGCGGATTATTGTGGTCAGTCGTGGTTGCGCTGTATGTAATACCGCGGCCCGCGCGTATTTATCTACACTAATATTATAAAGAGGAAAACTTTGTTTGTTTGTTTGGTTGTAATGAATAGGCTCAAAAACTACTGGACCGTTTTTAAAAATTCTTTCACCATTCGTAAGCTGCATTATCCACAAGTAACATAGGCTTAATTTTATTTTGGAAAAAAATAGGGTTCCGTAAAATATGTAGATAATGTAGACCACGCGCGCGAAGCCGCGGGCGGAAAGCTAGTTTGTTTATAACGATAAGTAAATCAATCAACCTAGGTATTAATCCGAAATACAAGCATGGTAGGTATTTTATATTTTTTTACGTACGTGTACGTGTGGTGTGAAATACAATTAAACATTTCATTTGCTACAGAAAAAATGCATTCTCTTAACTTTTAAAGTACCTATATTATTTTGAAATTATTGTAAAAAATATTCAATTTCCAAAAGATTTTAATTTTGAGTAGTTAAGATTTTAAGTTCGGATCTGTCAAAATCAACTGTAATTTCAGCGTTTTCAAAATTTCATCTCTACCATGATTGTTTTGGCTTGGAACTGACATCGAATACTCAATTCTGGTACACAACGAAATGGCGAACCTGGCTGTGTTTATCAGATAAAAGAAATATTCACTAGTTTAGCAGTAATTTAATGCAGTTTTGATGATTGAATAAACTATAGCGAGAGCGACACGTGTTTAGGCTATTATCGCTCGCTCGGGGCTCGAGTTGGCCTTCTTATTTCTATGACCGTGCGGCTGATAGCTACCTCTCGACGGTCTGCAGGCACTGGCGCGAGGCGCCGTCGTAGCCGCCCACGGCGTACAGGCGGCCGTCCAGCACGGCCACGCCCACGGACGAGCGGCGCGTGGACATGGGCGCGATGGCGCGCCAGGCGGCCTCGCCCGCGCCCTCCGCCGCCGTGTCCAGCGCCTCGGCCGAGCTCAGCCCCGTGACGCCGTCAAAGCCGCCCACGGCGTAGACGACGGAGCCGATGACGGCCACGCCCAGCGTGGAGCGGCGCGCGGCCAGCGGCGGGCCGGGCGCCCAGCTGTCGGCGGCCACGTCGTACACGTCGACGGAGCGCACGCGCAGCGTCCCGTTGAAGCCGCCCACGGCCCACACGCGGCCGCCCACGCGCGCCAGCCCCGCCCGGCAGCGCCGCGCCGGCAGGCACGCCACGCCGCGCCAGCGCCCGCAGCCCATGTGGTACGCCTCCACGTCGCGGATCGCCTGCAGACACGCATATCATCCTTCGTGTGGACTCTTTTGGAGGTTCATAGCTGACAGTTAATGTGAATACAACGAACAGATTGATGAGCTAAAGTGGCAACGGATAGGACACACAATACTCAGAACCGAGGAGAAGATTCCGGAGCGGAGGTTTCGTACACCCACAAAGCGAAACGACGACCACATGGACGGTTAATATGGCAATCATTATGGCAGGTCTACGTTCAGCGGTGGATCTCCTGCGGCACACGTCTCGCTCGGTAAGTGATATGTCTAAAGGCTGGTCCGTGGACTGTGTGACGGGCGCCCGCAGTGAATGTGCGAGCGCGACAGCAACATAGTTACTCGCGAGCGATAGGGATGGGTAGCTTGGAGTCATTGGACGGGATTCTACGTGCTCACGGACCAGGCTTTATCAAAGAATGCCGAATCGACGCATCAACGATGTTACGTCATCCCTGTGGCTCCGCTCCGCCGGGCTCTGTGGGCTCACCTTGGGCGCCTGCCCGCCGACGACGAGCAGCGCCATGGCGCCGGCGGCGCGGGCGCCGGCCCGGGGACGCGCGCGCCGCATGCCGGCCGCCGCCGCCGCGCGCCGCTCGCCGCGCAGCAGGTGGAACGACAGCGCCTCGATCACCAGGTCCTGCCAGAACACACGTGGAAATATTTACTAATTTAATAATTAAAATAAAAAGCGTTTGATGTCATAAGGACTTCGTTCACTCTTTGAGTAAACCTGGTGTTTGTTTTCAAAGCAGATGGTTTTATTAAATAGATTGGGGCCCTTTTACATATCGCGCTCGCACAGTCTCTGCGGTCGCCCGTCGCACAGTCGCGACAGCGATTACGCGCGAGCGATAAGGATGGGTAGTTTGGGGTCATTGTACGAAATTGTATCTGCTCGGCGACCGGACTTCAGTCCCAACGCCGGCGTTACCTTGACGCGGATGCCGGCGCTGACGAGCGGCTCGGCGGCGGCGCGCGCCACCAGCACGTCCTGCGCCAGCAGCGGCAGCCGCACGTGCTCCAGCACCGCGCCCAGCTGCGCCGCGCGCTCCTGCACACACCACCAAGTAATATGTATTACGGACATTTAGACAAATAAAGATACATCACAGGATAAAAGCGAAAACGACCACATCCAGTGACATAATTTAAACTGACCTCTGCATCGTGTTGCATCCAGCGTATGACGGCATCTAGAATCACTTCTTCATTCGGCACCTGGAACGTATTAACATGAAGCATTGATTAGACTTCGTTCGTGAAAATAATAATAAATAAATAAAATATCCTTGGACATTTTTACACTGCGCCGCTAGCCCCAAACTAAGCAAAGCTTGTACTATGGGTACTAGATAACGGATATAAACATACTTAAATACTTTTTTTTTGTAAATACATACTTAATATGTTACATAGAAAACACCCAGACCCGTCACAGAAACTAAAATTCATCATTTCAGTTTCTGCCCGGCCGGGAATCGAACCCGGGACCTCTCGGCATAGTAGTCCGTTCTGAACCACTACACCAAACGGCCGACGAAGTTTTTGCAGTTCCGAGTTGACAGTGAGAGCGTGAGGTTACCGTGATGCGGTCGCTGTCGAGCAGCTGGCACAGCGCGTCGGGCGCCAGCGCCAGGAACTCGTCGGCCTCGAGCACGTGCTGCGCGTGCGCGTCGATGTAGCGCGCGGCGGCGCGGGCCAGCTCGGCGCAGGCGTGCAGCTCGGCGAAGGCGCGGATGCCCAGCGCGTTGTCGGGCGCCAGCGCCGCCGCCAGGAAGCCGCAGCACGCCGCGCGCACGCCGCACACCTGCACCAGCGACGCGCCCGACAGCAGGCTCTGCGGGGGACGGCAGCGTTAGGCCGGGTTCCCGCTGTGCCGGACCGGACACCGGACAAGGGTGTTCACATTACACCGGATCACCGGATCCGAAATCCGAGCCAAATGAAGTGCGGGGAGCACGGGCGGGGCGGGGCGGGAAGCGCGGGCGCGGCGGGGTGGGCCGCGACTCGTTCACATTACTCCGGTCCGGTGATTTTGCCGGCATTTTGTAGCGACAAAACGCTCGGTAAAAATGCCGGGCTCGGCGTAAAAGCCGGATCCGGGATAATGTGAACAGCTTCATACAATTTGTACCGCCGCTAGGCCTTCCGGCGATTTTACCGGACCGGGAGATCTGCCGATCCGGCATAGTGGGAACCCGGCCTTACTCCTCCAGGTCGCCCCGTCGTCCGTGTCCGGCGATACCGGCGCGAGGACTCACCTGCACGTTGTCCTCGGTGATCACGAGCGACTCAGGCGTGTATATGTACTCGATGATGGCTTCTAAGGCTTCAGGATCGATGTTCTGAAAGCGAACAGGATTATAAAAAAAAATACAATATGGCGGAAAAAAATGAAAACGAACGAAGGGGCGGTCGCGGAACCTGTATGGTGACGGAGGCCTGCGTGCGCTCGCCGAACTGCGTGAACATGGCGAGGAAGTACGGCGACGCGGCCGCCAGCACGGCGCGGTGCGCCCACACGCCGGCCGACGGCGGGTCGTCGCTCTCCAGCTGCGCCTGACCACAGAAACAGGCGTAATGCTAAACTAAAATTGTCGGGGTACGCTTTTAGGAAACTCAGTTTGAGCGACAGCGCACATTGGGCGACAAAACGCAGCGCAGACGCGGCCACAAAACGCATGAGCGCGTCGTTTCATATTGTTAGCTTGTCGTCGCGACTTGTCTCGGAGTTGCAACGACAGCCGTCGTTTTTTCGCCCAATGTGTGCTGCCACTAAACTAGCCAGCTCACTGAATAGATTTTGTCCAACTCCAAATGGCATCAGTAGAAAAATATTTTCGAACTCAACATGGAAGAGAATGTAATCAATGAGGGCTATCGTTTTTATACTTAACAGTTGGCACCCCGGCGATTGACAGGACCTTACTCTACAATGGCGCCATCTTGATGAGTGCAAATGCGATAGTCCTCCTACCACTTTAGCGCTCACAAGTTGGTGCCACTACTGCCACTGTCTTCGCTACTAGCAAGTGACAGGACCTCACTCTACAGTGGCGTTAACTGGTGAGCGCTAAAACGATAGCCCTCATTGAAGAGCGTGTCACGCGGAGGGCGCACCTGCAGCTGCACGTCGCAGAGCGCGGCGCCGCGGCGCAGGCGCGCGAGCGCGTCCAGCAGCTTGTGCGCGTGCGCGGGCGCCGCCGCGTCGGCCGCCGCCTCGCCCGCCGGCCGCTGCGACGACTCGTCCAGCGACGACTGCGACGCGCAGCGCACCAGCAGGCTGGGGGACCGCCGATATCGATCATGTTGTTGTTGTCCGAATTACGTTACGAATTAAAGTTATAGCCAGATATATTAAAAGAGGTTCGAGTAAGACGATCGACGAGTGTGATGGCCTCCCGTGGTTGCGCGATTGACTGAATACCTGATAGTGATCAGATATCAATGAAATTAAAATTACCGAAACTAAAGAAACACACATAAATTGGGAACATGATGTGAAGCCAAAAAAATTATTTTATCTAATCAATTAATTAGAAGCCAGGAGCAGCAGAGAGTTAAATTACATGAACTTGGCAATTAACCTTGCTGATGATCGAGTATTTGGATCAAAACAGAATAAAACCAAAAAGGTATGAATTTAAAATGTAGAAATAAGCAAATGGCACTATAGGTAGATAAACAAAATTTTGGCAAAGCAGTGAATTTGATGAAAGTTAAAAACATGATCAGTGCAAATAAATAGAAGAAAAGTGTGATATACAAATGAATACCTATACCTCCCACGGTCTCCATCCCCCTCTACTGCGCTATAGTCCACTCCCAACCTGCGGTGGACACAACAGATTAGTACTATAATTTATTACACACTGGAGTGCATATTATTATTATACTACAAGTGATGGTAGATCTCAAGGAGCTATCTAAACATATTTTTTTTTAATTTATCTCTTACACAAAATAATGGTAATTTTCCTATTTATAAAAAAAAACCAACTAACTCACTTTGGTTTTACCAGGGATGTTATGGATATCCATAACAGTAACCGAAACTATTAGATATCCGAAATAAAAACATCCATAAGGGGGCGTCCATAAATTACGTGAGACAATTTTGGCTATTTTTCAACCCCCCCGCCCCCCTTGGTGAGATTTGGTGAGATTTTGCCTGACCCCCTCCCCCACCCCCAAATCTCACGTGATATAAAAAAAAATCCGAAATTTAATAGTTTTGGAGTAATATTTAACATTTTTTTTGTGTGCTTTAACGTTGTTGCTAACGAGTGCATCAAAAAGATCTATAAAGTTTAAGATTTTAGTTCTTGAAAGTATCTGCTAGGGACGCTGTACAATCATCATACATTTAATGTATGTCATTTTTTACGCAGTCGCTAGCGGATGACGATTGTGTAAAGTCGCACTAAGCCCACTGAGTACGAATAGATCCAGAAATTCACGTGTAGTGACAGCGGTTAGTACTAGGGTCACATTGTTTTTTTACAGAAGTACCTAGTCTAATTGTTCCTTTCTACAAAATCACAAATAATCTAGCAAAATCGATTTTGATAAAAAAAGAACTTGTTTTATAATTTTCTTAATTTCGTCATTTATTCTGCATTTTAGTATTCACACATGCAGACGGAAGCATTTTTAGTTGTATTTGTTTAGACTGTATAGAATAAAATGACATTATCATCATACAAATATCATTTTTTAGTCCTGACAAGGAACCCTTAATAGTTTCGATATGTCTGGCTGTCTGTCTGTCCGAGGTTTTGCTTGGAAACTATTGGCACTAGGGAGCTGTAATTTTGTAGAGGTATGTATATTATTCACGACGACAAAACGGTAGAATAAAATTTTGAAAAAAAATTTTTTTTAGGGTAGCTCCCCTACATTTAAAAGTGGGGATGGTATTTTTTTTCGTCTTCTACCCCATCGTGTGGGTAGGTCTTTTAAAATGGCTTAGGGGTTTCTAAGACCATTTTTCGATTTAGGGATCCGTTTGCAAAATGTTAAAGTTTAAAGTGTCAAGTTTTGTCCGAGTAGGGCGTTCCCCCCCCGCTAAAAACTAAACTGTTGGCTTGATAAATCTGGAAAAATTCAAGATTATAGTGCTTTTTATGAACTTTCAAGGAAAACTATAGCGGTTAAGATAGATCAGTTAGTTCAAGAGTAATAGTCGTTTTACTCATGTATTATAAAATTTCATACCTAATAAAAATTCCTTAGAAGAAAATATAATTTGATAACTTTTTAAAAAAATAAAACCGACTTCAAATGCGTGAACACAAAAAAAAACTAAAAATTAAAAATATTGCGTATAAAAAAGTTCATCCCCAATTTTCCACCCTTGGGGGTGAAATATTTTCTTCAAATTCGCATGAAACCACCCTTTTGATAATACCTATTCAACAAAAAAATAATCGTTCAAATTGATTTATAATCGGCGGAGATATTGCGTATAAAAAAGTTCATCCCCAATTTTCCACCCTTGGGGGTTGTTTTTTCTATTATTAAATTTAAATGGGACCACCCTTGAGGTATTACCTATACGCCGAAAAAAGATTTGTTCAAATCGAAAACATAGAAAAAAAAAAAAAAAAACATACGGGTCGAATTGAAAACCTCCTCCTTTTTTTTGAAGTCGGTTGATTAAAAGTGACTTTAGATGAAGTAATTGCTTACTTCTGAAATATATTGTGATAACGACGGACAACTAAGGAACCCTACACTGCGCGTGGCACGACACGCACTTGGCCAATTTTTTTANATAAATAATGTGGTTAATTAAAACTTATTAATTTATTTGGATACAGTTTGACCAGTATTCCAAAACAGTATTAATTTGGATTCCAAGTAACACTGTTGCGAGGAAAAAGTTTGGTTTCTATTTAATAGCACCTTTTAATAGCAATCTTTTGATTCTTGAAGCCTGACCTATAAATTATTATATTATTATGAATCAGAAGCGGGGTTGATTTTTTAAAAAGAACAATTTTAATCACAAAATCGACCGTTTATTCAAAGAAAACCTAAACACAATATATGAAACCCTAAACACGATTATTGCCACTAGAATACGTCCGTCACGTCCAAATGCCTCCGCAAAAGTGAGCGCGCGCCGAGCCAGCGCTCTTCAGGTGCCCCTTCTCATGGTTCGATGTTACGTCACGGTGGCGTGATGCTAGGCCCCGCCTCCTGGTCCGTTTTCTCTAATACGGCCTCTCCTGACGGCGAGTCGTCCTCGACCGCCTGATCCTGGACAGATGACTCTTCGCAGTCTTGGGAAGTACCGGGATCGCTGTCATCTGTAAAACAACACCATTTTAACACCTTTTTTTTTTAACCAGGTGTCTAGATACCTAAACTTCATAACAATTATCAGCTTCAAGTCACAAATGTAAGCGTGCACTCATACATTCGTGACCAAAACATGAACATTGTCATCTAATAGGTAGAAGTAGATGTATGCAAAATGAAATTACAAAACAGCAATCGAGCAAAAGAAACAGAAAAAAAAGAGATGGTATTCCCCATAGCAAAGCTATGCCAGCCAATCATAGGCTGCCAGCACACGTCATAGGTAGCTGCCATAAGGCAAGCGCACATGGCTGCTAAAATAATTACGAAGCACACGCCATAGGTAGCTGCCATAGGGCAAGCGCACGTGGCTACCAAAACACACAGCACACGCCATAGGTAGCTGCCATAGGGCAAGCGCACGTGGCTATCAAAACACAGCACACGCCATAGGTAGCTGCCATAGGGCAAGCGCACGTGGCTATCAAAACACAGCACACGCCATAAGTAGCTGCCATAGGGCAAGCGCACGTGGCTAAGCGACTCACCATCCGTGAAGAAAGCCGCACACGTATCCGGCGTCCATTCGCCGCGCCACAAAGTCATGTGTTCCGCAGCTGCCTGCGTCTTCTTGCCGTAGGATCCGGCTAGAAGCTCCAGCTCATAGCGATGGTGCGGAAGCTGCTGGATGACCTTGTAGGGACCCCTCATGCCGGAGTCCAATTTGCCGGAACTCTGCGAACTTTTCCCAACGAATACAAAATCGCCAAGGGCAAAGATACGCGGCTGCCTTCGCCCTTCGTTGACACGTCGGTCTTGATGAGCCTGATTTGCTTCTAAAAGCTCTGAAGCTCGTTGTCGCCTCAATGTCATCAAAGCTTCTCGGTTAGCATGGGAATTTTCTAGGGCTACATCCCTCACAAGAGCCCTCAAGATAGGTGTGGTGGCTTCGACACCAATGAGCAGTTGAAGAGGTGATGTCTGAGTTGTGGCTTGTTTGGTGATGTTTAGAGTTAACTGGACTTTCCACAGAGCATCAGACCAGTTACGACCCTTGCTATTTACCTCAACACGCAACATATTTAAGACGGAACGGCAATATCGCTCGGCTTGGCCGTTTTCTTGGTGCATTTCTGGCGTGATTAAATGTGTGGCACACCCCAGCCCAGAAACCCAATTTTGAAACCCAGAACTTTCAAACATCCTACCGCGGTCAGTTACGATTAAAGAAGGTGTACCAAATAAAGAAATAGCGTTTGTGAATACGCGTTTTAATTCGTCAGTATCCTGCCTATATAAAGGGTACAACAAGCAAAATTTTGAAAAGGCATCTACCAAAACCAAGACGTACTTAAACCCATTTGATTCAGGTAGCGGACCCAATACGTCCATATGAACAGTTGAAAAGGGACTTTCAGGTTTGGTCCAAGATTCTATGGGCTGCCCGGGGAACTTTTTTATGTGATAGACAAACCACGCAATGGCTTATGTACTTCTTAACGAATTGTCTTAGACCAGGGAACCAGAAATGACGGAGAATCAAGTTGACAGTTTTATCCATGCCGATATGTTCGTGATCGTCGTGAAAGACGCGTAGAAGACTTAGTCTATGCCCTTTTGGGATAAAACAAAGTAGACGCGACTCTTCGCCTGTAAGACTGTACTTGTAGTACAGGAGATTGTTTTTAACAACATATCGAGATGGATCCAACTGGCCGTCTCTTAACTTTTCCATCATTTCTTGTGTTTCGGAGTCAGCTGTTTGTGCAATCTGAGCCCAGTTATTAGGTCGACGAATGTGCGACACACTCACCGGGTTACGGCTTAGAAAGTCGGCATGCTGCATTAGAGCACCCTTCCGGTATTCAATGGTGAAACGGAAGTCTTGCAAGTAGACCCACCAACGAGCCACCCGCGGTATAAGATCTTTTTTTCGCTCAGTTAATTTCAGTGAGTTACAATCCGTCACTATCTTAAAGTCAATGCCAATAAGATAGTGGCGAAAATGTTGCAATGATTTTACAATGGCCAAAGTCTCGAGCTCATAGCTATGATATCGAGACTCTGCACCATGCGTTGCTCTACTGAAATAACCGACGACACGCTTCCGTTTACCGTCATGCTCCTGCAGCAATACCGCGCCATAACCGATGGCACTAGCGTCAGTGTGAAGTTCAGTGGGCAATTTTGGGTCAAATATCGCGAGTACAGGTTCTTCCGTTAAGGAAGTAATGATTTTATCACGTGCTGCATCTTGTTCTTTGCCCCAGATAAACGGTTGTCCCTTTTTAGTAAGTTTTGCAATGCAAGCTGTCTTAACTGCGTAATTAGAAATATACCACCTAAAATAACCGGCCAGACCCAAAAATTGCCGCACTTGCCTGATATTTTCTGGTTTTGGGGAATTTACTAAAGCTTCCACCTTCCTAGGGCTCGGCCGTACCTGCCCTTGACTAATAAGCCGGCCTAAATACTCAACTTCTGTCTTTAGGAATGTGCACTTTTTCAAGTTTATTGAAAAACC